ACTGCACAATAATGGGAATCCAAGATGGCAGGGAGGGAGCCCATAAAACCACCAGAGAGAACAGAGGAGAAAAAAAAAGGCAGCATCCAGGAAAAGCCATTGTCAAATGAGAGCAGACAGAAAGCCAAAAAAGATTGTTGATTTTGTTTTTCCTTTAGCAAATAGATTGTTGATTTGCTTTTGTGTTTGCCTGTCTGTATTGGATCCTCTCTAGAACTGTAGTGTTTGGGAGGATTAATGTCATGGACAATCCCTCAAACTCATTTTCTTTCTAACTGTGGAGGTCTGTGGGAATTACAGTTTGAGGATAAGGGAGAAAGACATTGCATTTTCTGCTGACAATGGTCCTATTTGTGATGAAATGAAATCTGGGTTCATTGTGTTCCTTTACATTTTTTTTTTATTTTTTATTTTTAGTTGCTTGTTTTTGAATACTTTGAATCCCGAAAGATGTGCTGTTCTCCACTTGTTCCCGGAAACAAATTTCACTTATGTTGTCTGAAAAAAAGAAGAAGAGGAAGAAGAGGAGGAGGAGGAGGGGGGAATAGCATAACCTTGTGGATTAGTGCACTCTTTAAATCACTCTCCCTGCTCGCCACACATCTCATTGTTGTTTAACATGTTGGAAGTCAGTGTGAGTTTGGGTGTTTTTCTGCCAGGCGAGCTGTAATAGGGGGGAAGAAGCTTGACGGGAGTCAGTTTATCATGAGCACAGAGAGCACAACAGATAGATTCCCCCTGTCTCCTCCCCTTCAGCACAGATAGACTCGGAGCATGGGCACTCAGCCAACACTATCAATCTATCCGCTCCTACCCCCAGCCTCTAACTCTTATTGGAGGACAGCTTCCAAAGGGGCAAGAAAGCATGAATCATAGCCCGGCTATGAGAAGCTGTTATGCCTCTAAAATACACGTGTTGTGGCTCAAAAAAAATCACTCGCCATTAATGACAAGTGATTGTCACGGCCCCTGTAACAAAGTTGTAGCGTTTAAGGAGCGGCTGAGGCTGTTCGGGGAAGAGGGATTGTTGGTCTTGGCCTAGTTTTCTTGTCTGATCAGAAACCTGTGCACCTCTGCCCTTCCCCCACCCAAAACTAAGCCTCTACTATTACAGGCTGTGAGGGGCTCAGTATGGAGCGAGGTGAGCAGCTTGCCTCACCGCCGAGCTCTGTGTGCGTTGTGCGTGCTGCCTATACTGTATGTTTACGAGCTTATCCTCGTGTGTGTGTGATATAACCTGGCGATGTGGTTTGGCCTGCATGACTGGCTTCCTATGAGCTATACCAGCTATGTGAAAAAATACTGCCGTTTGATTGGAGGTTAAGGCTGCGAGACTCAAAAGGTGACATATGTCATGCATCTATACTACAGAATGCAGGGTTCCCCCCCTCCACCCCTCCTCTTCCCCTTTGTTTGTTGTCCGCAAAAAGCATTGTTGATTAAATAAAAAATAAATCCAAAGAGGATTAAATAATTAGTGCACATTATTACACATTATTACACGCGGTTATTTCTTGTGTGAATTCATGTAATATTCAAAAATACATAGAATATTTCATTAATATGCACAAATATATGACCGATTAGCACCAATGTGCCAAACATATGCTAATTTTCCATGTGCATCTGTCGTTAATTACAGATATGAAGCTGGGAATGGCTCGGAGGAATCAACGAGGGCATGTGTGACAGCATCCCTCCCCGTTTCTGCCTTTAACCGTCCATTGTACTGTGAATACATTTCGAGATTATGGATGACATGTTTGTGTTTTTGTTTTGGCCTTTACTGTATAATGACGCCATTAGCTTTTAGGTTACCAGGTGGTAGGTTACCCATAGTTATTTGTGGAAAACGTGACATACTTTTAGTTTCAAAATAAGGCTTTTAGAGGTCATTATCTGTTATTTTATGTCTGCATGAATGGTGAAACAAATCAAATTGTGCATAGTAAAGCTGTACGGTTCACATACTGACGGCTGGGCTAATTATTCAGTCGCAGTTTAATATGAAATTAGATTTTTTTTAGTATTAAGAATCACATATTTAACCAGCTATCACCCTTAGCTCTAAGGAGAAAGTAGTAACACCCTGATTCACATGTTAAAACAATTATAGGTATGATGTTAACAGAGTAGAAAAGAAGATAATTCATTGAAACACTCATTAGCTTCAGTCTTCAGCTGCCTGCTATACACCTAATTTCCTTTTCACTATGTGTTACCGTTACATGCACTCTGCGTTGATTAAGGTGAAGATCCTCGGTATATATGTTTTTTTTAAAATTCTTTTTCTGCCGCCCCCTCCCTCTCTTCAGCCTGGCTGCCCTTGTACATGCTCTCCATGTCAGACCCAGCTGTTACTACAAACTACTTGGAGGGCTTACAAGCCTCATTGCTAATACTGACAACAGCACTATTCTTACTCAAGGCCTAACGTCTACTGGAAAAAAGCGAGAATATGAGAGATTTTCTCTGACTCCACTAGAAATTCATTTCCCCAAACAGATGTTTCCATCTGTTCAATCTAATCTTTTGATTAATACATTCCTCAATGACGTGATACCAAATAGGTGTAAGACAAATAACTCAAGATGCCCTTTTGTTGATTGCTGTGATTATTTTCTGATGCTGTATTTACATTTTGTGTGTGTGTGTGTTTGTGTCTGTGTGCCTGTGAGTACCTGTATGTGTGACCAAATGTGAATGTGTGCATGGTATGTTTGTGAAGGTATTTATGGCCCATATGTGCGTTTGTTCCGAGCTGTAACCCCATTACATTCCTAAGACGGTCCATGAGACTAATTAATGTTCTGTGCCCAGGCTTTTCTTTTACCCAAGGGACTCCCAATGGATTATTTACCTATATGTCCTATTGACAGCAAATCCCCCTTCCCATTGGTAACCTCTGTGTAAATAGACAGTTTGAGGCTTTAGGGTGGATAATACCACTAAGAAGCTATATGTGGAATTTGCATTCGCCATGTCTTATTTTTGTTATAGCTCACACCCAAAGCATGGGCATCCTGCCCACACAGTGACTCAAATGATAGCCTACATGCGTCACTACTTTGTAGTAGTTGTGGTGATAACTATGTGCTAAGATGTTGCAGAAATTTCTCTGTAAATGAATGTCTTTGTTTTGTATTTCTTGAAATAATACACGTCCACTGTGTTTGCGTGTATAATATGGTAACTAGGCTGTAAACACGAAACAAAGAAGGGTCATTTTAACTTCCCTCCTCTTTGACGAGGTTTGCCCTCAGGTTAAAAACAACAGCTGTCTAACACCTACATACACTTTTTTTGAAACGAGAGGTTATTGTGTGTTTTCAGACGAACACAATCGCACAGGGATGTTGTGTGCATTTTGAATAAAGGCAGGAAGCACGTTAGAGTTACATGAGGAACAGGGTCATCTAAACTTATTCCATTTTCAGTGTTTCATTGTGAGCATGGTGACTGAGCTGCAGCTGATTTCTAATATCAATCCATTGGTTTTCTTATCTCATGAAAGCGGTGTTTTAATATAACTGGGAAATTTGCCTTAATCACTGAGTGTGCCCTCCCTGTTTGAACTGTTTTCTCTGAACTATTTCTCTCTCTCCCCCCTTCTCTGTGATCCTATACTCTGCTCTCCCTCCTCTCCACTCTGCTCCGGAGCAGGCAGTTACTAGGGCTGCGTTGGTCTCATGTTTGTCAGCTCGTTCACAAAAACACTGACCACACAAAAAGTAGTGCTGCTAATTAAGCCATAATTATTTTCTGACCATCGAGTTTTTGATGTTAGAATCAGTTTCCGAGCTGGTTTCAGCATCTATAGTGGAAATATTTGATGTTTTTGTTTGTTTTGTTTGAGTAGTGAAATGGATATTTTGGACTATCAGACAAAACAAGCGATGATAATATATTGTCCCTTGGTAAATTACAATAGGCATTGTTTTCTGCATTTTGTACCCACAAAGCAATTAATCAACTCACTGTAAAAACAAGCAGCACATTAATTAAAAAATAAAGTGGAAGTATTGTTTCATGATTACAGCAGTTTGTATTTTATTAGATTATTTATTTATTTTGTTCTGGATGAAATGTAATTTTAGATCTGGACAGTGTTTTGAAATGTCAAGCTCAAATATTGCATTAGAGCGCTCTGTTCAAAAATAAATGTTAAAGAGGGAAAATAATAGTTCCTTTTCATAACAACTCATTTAAAAACAACAACAAAAAGTCCTTTAATATTTAGCCATTTTAAATAATGTTTTATTTTTTTCATTAAAGATAGATATTTTGTATATTTTTTAAAAATATATATTTACATGTAAAAAGTATTTAGCTTGTGTCATATAGTTGAATGGATAGAAATAATAGCTTCAAATATTAAGACAAAACCTTACATTTGCAATCAGTTTTTTTTAATATAGCTCCTAATACACATACATAAAGGTTGTTGTGCTTTGCAAATTTATAAAAATAAAATAAAATAAAACAAAACATGCAATAAAAAATAATAGATTCAAATAAATGAATCAAAAACAGTACCTACAAGTTAAATAAAGTGCACATAAATAAGTTAATTAGTTAACACTGATTGACTAAAACAACGAAATTAGCACTTAGATTATAATTTATTTGCAATTGTTGTAATTTGGAATAAAATAATGTAAACCCGCAGGTTGGGAATGTTGTTTTTTGAAAACAGCGAAAGGGGAGACAGCAACCAAAGTAATAAAATGATGTCAGCGGGCATGTTGGAGCCCCCCTCAGCCAGCCTCCCTGAGCACACAGGGAAAGTGAGCGTCAAGAAGAAGGCAGGCACAAGCTGGATTTCTGGCCGCTCATTGGCTGCCGCCGCTGTCAATCAAGCGTACGGAGTTTCCCATTGGCCGAGCTCTTCCACATTTATCGTGCCATCTCGTCAAGCTGCTGCTGTGTAATCGCAGGTAACTTTCTTACGATAGCCTTCCGCCGGACGACCTAGTGCTCGTAGCGCTTGTGCATTTTTTGAGGCTCGCGGCTACATTACGGGGAACCGAGCGTCGGAATTAAAGATTCCCGTCGTTCGGGCCACCGGGAGACGTTAACGTCGCATTTTTTCCTTGAGAAAAACAGCCCGTCTCTCAAAGGCGTTTGAAATCGGACACCGCTGGCGTTGAGGCCCTCACTTTTTTGTGCGGAGGGATACGTTGTTGCGTCTGACAATGTGGACGGAGGTGGTGAAGATGTCTACGAGAAGAATGAAATCATCTCAGTTGTAACAACAAAAAAGGAAGACGTGAGATTAGTTACTATAATAGATTTGTTTGCACACAGACTTGTTACAGTGAAGCAAACACGTGGGCCGCGGTGTGAAAAAGCAAGGCTTTCCCGGGACAAAAGGAAGATATCTACTGTGCTCCAATGCGTTTCATGCACTGAGGTCGAAATTCTCTTGAAGTTTTATGTTTTTCCCCTTGCGAGTCTCCGCTTTTCTTTTTACTGTTGGATATCAGACACTTGGAGAGGAGAGGTAAAAAAACCACATTCTTTACACTTCACGTTTTCGGGGGAAGTTGCATGAATTCGACGGGTTTCATTGACACCTATTTTGACGCCTTGCATTTGTCGAAAAGTTTTCGGGAATGTGTGGTTAAAGCGGGGGATGTTAAGTTTTTGTCTGGGTTTGAGGTGGCGAGCCAAGTGTGTGATGGTCTCCGCATCGACCACGGAGAGGAGGAAATTACTCCTTTGTTCTGCAAAAAAAAAAGACTCCATTAAATGTTAGTGCTGCCTAACAAGCCTCATTTTGTTTTCCACCGTGTGTCTCCGCCGCTAGCTAGTATAGCCTAGAAGTGGACATATTAACACACAAAAAAAAGAGAGAGAAAAAAAAAACCCTTGTGTAACGTCGGCGAGCATTTTAGCTAAACTTTGTGTTGTGGTGCTGCATTTTCCACACACGAGCCAGGGAGAGAAACTTTCCATAAAAATCCCCCTTTAAACATTCCTTTATGGAAGTGTCTGGCCACCAGCTAGACTTATTTTATTGCACATTTGGCAGGAAATTCCTCATGCTCCCACCCCCACCGTCTCTTCCACTGAACTCCCTCATAATGCACGACTTGAACCCTAATAATATGTGAAAGGGGGAGAAAAAAAAAAAGACCAGTTATGTGTGTTGCATGAAGTTTTGGAGGCTTTTTTTTTTGCTTTCTTATTCTTCCAGGGCTCAGGGCCGTCTGCACTTGTTTTTACAAACGGAGAAGACACAACTGGAGGTTTTTGTTAGTCTTGTGGAGGATGTCAACATAGTTCAAAATAAATGGTGAATGGGGTAGTTGTCAGCAATAAGCTTGTGGCCCTGGATGTGGCCTAGCGGGGCTGATCATAGAATATACAGCCTGTGTACGGCTTGTGGTGCCCTACATGTTTACTATCATTGTTATAAACTGTTTTTCTTTTTTATTATTATGATTATTTATCATTATACGTTTCTTGCACCATCAGTTTCTTTTGGTCAGTATTTGAATCAACAGTTGAAAATGTGTTTTGTGCTCAGCACGGCGGCCCTTGTTGTTCTCGTAGTAGTGGTAGCATTGAGATAAACAGCTTCTAGTTTTTATTTACTAAACGTAACACGTTGTGCACAGGCCTGTGCTTTTAAATTGCATTATTACAACATCTGTTCTCAAATTTCCTCTAAATCACGCGTTGTTTTAGACGAGTAAAAGCAACTTAATTGGGGCCTATTATTATGTTTTAAAGCAAAAAAAACAAAAACAGAAAAAAACCCTGACACAGACGTTTTACAAAACTTGTTCACATAGGTTTATTTTGAACATTAAGTTTTTTGGTGTCTTTGTGTGTAGCTTCGGTGGTTTGTTTTACTGGAAGTCCTTTTGTGGGGAATGACCTGCCTTCTCTGCCTTGTGTGGGGTGACAAAGACCCCTAATCTGCTGCCTTCAAATATTGATCCAGCAGTAGCTGAAGATGCCATTTTGTTACATTAAGCCCCTCCATGTGCTCCACTCCATTTAACTTGGTGCTTAAATAGTATTTGGGAAGTTTTATTCTGTGGCATGTGTGGTCTGTGTTGTCCTTCATGGGCCATCTTACCCAAAAGTTTGGGGAAAGCAGTGACAGCCATGTTCCTCGCCTAGTTACTCTTGGGGCGATGTTTTGTGTATGCTCACTTCCTTCCCTTGTCCCAAGGTTAAATTAGTTCCACTTGCCCGAATTCACTAGACTGGGACTGCAATGTTTGTCTCCCGTAAAGCCCACTTTTGTTATTTTCATATACGTACGGAGGGGTTTATTGCTTGTTTGTTTTGCTTTTAAGTTGTTTCAAATTAGCATATTTATTCCTTGACAGAAATTCTAATAATATGAGTTCCTTTTGTTCATGGCTTAGAATCTGCATGTTTTTATAAGACATACATCTGTTTTTTTTTGCTTTTCCTTTTGCGTTGTTGTTTCTTGGTCAGTTTATGCTAGTACCGAATTACAAAGGAGGCTGTAAAAGCACACCACCTGTTGGTGTCCAAGTGCCTCTATTCTTCCACTTGCTCCCCTTACCACTGGTTCCCTGTGAGGCTTGCAGAACCACCGCTCAGCATCAGAGAGCGGCCTCGGGCTTGCGTTGGAATGCAAAACACAGGGTAAATCCAGTATTCATGCTCACTGTGTCATTTGACAAGGTTCTTTCTGAGTTGACATATGGTAATTTGGTAATGACGTGTTTGCATACAGTCATTAGCTCTGCCTTTCACCCCTATTTCCTTGGGCTAACAATAGTCCCAATTATGTCTGTAATTGTAAATGTATTACATTCTCTTTTATGTAGCAATGATCGACATATGGTTGTGTTATTTGCAAGGGTAGCGTAAAAAGAAAGAGATTTTTTTTTTAAGTCATTACTTGGTAGTGATTTGACTAAAGGCAGAGTATTCATCACTTCATAGCAGCGTCTCTTCCACTGCCTGGATGGGAAGGCACTGTCTAAGGGAAAACGCATAAGTAGGGAGCACATATAGTATGTAGTGTTTCCGAGCCTTATGTTGTCCTTTTTTTCCTCCTCATCGGTCCATATTTCAACATGGTAGTAATTTGAGCTGTGTGTTTTGGCCAGCTGAAGCTCATGCTTTTAAATTCTGAAATACACAACATTTTTTTTTATGACCTGCATTTTTTTTTTTTTATTTAGTAAAATTTTGATTTAAAAAAATAAAGAATCTAATGCATTCGCAAAGTTGCTGTTTTAGGGAAAATGCTGACATACTGCACCCCTGCCTTAGTATCTAATGGGAAACTAACAACTTGCCAATGTGAATCATCTCATGGGTTAAAATAAGGGTTGTGATATAGCAAAGGTAGAGTAGTTTGAATCATTCATTACCATCATCATCCCTGTTTTTTTATTATTATTAAGAGGAACATGTAACTTCTCTTTATGCTTGCTAGTGCCATTAAAATCCTCTATCTGCAAATTTCTCTCATAGGGTTTATTAGAGACTGAAGGGTATGAACGAACAGCAGCAAAGAATGGCTGCAGTGGGAACTGACAAGGAACTCAGCGACCTCCTGGATTTCAGTGCGGTAAGAGAGTGGGAGAGCAGTCTGGGTGGTTCTGGGTGGCAGTGGGAGGAAGAGCGTGAGATACAGGTCTGGGTATATATGGGCAGAGGAAAGCTGGAGGTCTTAATAAAGGGAAGTGGGGTAATGGTTGAGGAAAGAAACTTGGGTGGGAAGCTTAATTTCTCGAAATATGCAACAGAAAATCTTCTTTTTATAACAGTAGGTTTTGTCAGCTTAAAGATGTTTCCATTCTTCATTTTTGGCATGCAGAGGTAGCGCTGATAACATCAAAGTATGGCCAGTAAAATACTGCAATACCTCAGGGTGATGGGTGAAAATGAATTCAGGCTTTAAATGTAGGTTACTCAATTATGTAGATGACGCAGAGATGCAGGCAAGTAGATTCTACTACAAATAACCGGTATCCACTGCAAAATGTAAATAGTGGATCAGCAACAACTGCAGGAAATGGTGGAAATAATTTCACCCTTGTTTGTCTTGTTAACAGGTTCTTAGGGGGGAATATTGTGATCTATGAACTGGGCTGAGCAGACAGCTTCTGCATTTCTTTTTGTCATATTTTTAGTCTTTAGGAAGACTTTTTTTTTTTTTTTTTGTTCACGGAGATGCTTTCAGAGCTATCCTCTAGACATTATCTACAAAGTGGATAGAGGTATTCTGTTCAGCTTTTATTTACCTGTGTTTCATTTTGTTGTGAAGCCTTTTTTCGGCTTTACGCTGACATAAACATCTCATAGCCCCAGTGGAGCTGTGTTAGTTTCTTCTCCTAAATAAACCGAATAGCTGGTGAGGCTAAATTGCCGGCTCTGGGTAATTGTTATATGTGGGGTAATTCCAAACTATAACTCTGAATGAATATTTGTCAGCAGACTTAATGTCTCAGGAGATTTCTTCTGACAAAGTGGAATTAATTTATACTAAAGTGTTTATATCACTAAAGAGTCATTGACATTTAATGATGTGTCACACTGGAGAACAATAAGACTAGCTTGGATTTTTTTTTGTGCGCGATTTTCTTTCTTTCTTTTTTTTTTTTAAACAAATTGTTGTACATAAATATTGTTGGTAGAGCTTTATTATAATGGCTTGCATGATTCAGTTAGCTGCTTTAACCTAGTCATATTCCCTGTCATAACACTGGTATTTAAAGGAAACCCTACCCCATTCTAAAGAAAACACCCCTCGTTGCGAGGGGGGTTTGTGGGAGGTTCTCATTAGACAGTTGGGTTTGTGTTTTCGGAAAAAGCTCAGATTGATCAGCTGCCAATTCGTATCAGCAGATGTTCCGTTTAAATATGACATTGATAATTGGGTGAGAAACTGTTGAACGTCGTACAAATAAATTTCCTCCTCTTTGTTTATTTGCTGGCTAGTCGTAGGAAAAGCATGCGGGGTTGGATTTGGTTTAAAGGAAAAGTAAACATGTTCACGATATATGCAATCAAATGTAATCGAAGCAAACATGGCATCTAAATCGGTTGTTTGAGTGCTTTTATACATTAAGAAACAGGATCACAAGTGGTAGTGGCAAATGGTGTTACGGTGTCCTCGTTATACAAAACGTTTGGTTTGTATAGCAGACTTTGAAGCTGCCACAGCAGATATTTAGACTGTAGTCTCATGGTAAAGCCCGCAGTGGTTTGGTTACATCATAGTTTTGAAATAAAGTGCTGTGTACTACTGGTTTTCAGTATTTCAAATACATCTAAAAGATTTATTTTATAATGCTGTATATTTGTATTAGGAGCAGCTTAGCTCTGTACTGTTTGCATAAGAAAACACATTTTTTAAAACTGTAAGAATGTTTGATAGTTTTTTACTGACATGCTGGAAGTTATCAGTGGTGTTTATTTTTTTATTTTTGTTATTTTCCCCCCCTCCCCCCACTTTATTTATATATATCACTTTACCAAAACTGAAATGCCTGTAAGGTAAAAAAAAAAAAGCAAAACAAAACATACAACTGAACGAAATGTGTGTGTTTTGTTAGTTATTAGTGGAAATAGGATGTGTGAAGTGTGCCATCATTTCCCTTGTTAGTTATGGTATCTTTCTGCTTTTGTCTTGTAGATGTTCGCGCCTCCAGTAGCCAACGGGAAAAACAGGACAATGACACTCGCCAGCAGTCAGTTTGGGGGATCAGGTAAGCTTTTAAGCTTAATCTCAAAGCAGTGTGCCTGCTTTGTATGTGCTGTATGTCTCAGTTAATGTTGGCTATCATTCATTGTTTTCCCACAAGTGATTTTTAACTAACATTACTGTGGCTGTGTGTAAGTTTTGGCAAAGCAGCAGCATATGAAATTAATATTTAGTAATTTATGATCCTTAGCAATCTCGTCAATGCAAAACTGAACAACAAAAGTGCATGTCTTTAAAATTTACAGCTGATACAGGAGAGCAAGTACATCAAAGGTCAGCTCATTGAGACCACAAAAAATGTGTTCTCCTCCTAACCTTTGTGGTGTCTACCATGCAGACAGTTTCAGTTTTAGTTCCCTTATGTTTTACAGATCTCTGTCGCCACCGCAGTAGGTGCAGCAGAGGTGAATTTTATTTGTGCTGTTTCAGGCTTTACAAAATTTTATTAGAAAAATGGTTAATCCTTACTTCTGACAACAGTTTTCATTGCATCAGTTTCAACAAGACCAGAAATCAAGCAAATTGTTTTTGTTAATTTGTATCATTGGGCAATGCAAATATTTTCAGAATACATTTTACATTTGTTGACGTGCTACAGCTTGCTCTGTGCCTGTTTATTCATTTTTTAGGACTTTGCTTCTCTATTTTAAAGTGCAAACTAGCTGCAGTTAACTCGCTTGAGCACCTGAATGCTTTGAGTGAGCTTTTCTCTCTTCCTGAAGGTTATTAGTAAGTCGTGTTACTTTCGTTCCTCTGTCACCCTGCCAACCTGGCGTGTGAAATCGAGTCACACTCCCCAGTGTTCCCCAGAGTGAGAACTTGGCCACTGAGGAACAAAGGCAAAGAAGGGGGCTTATGGACTTGAAACGACTCCCCCACCCTGAAGTGTAAAACACTCCTCCCCCAACACGGCACAGGGCTCTTACCCCCACTGATCTGCAGGAAATGGCTCGAGTCTGAGACAATGTCCCTCACCCCCAGCTCGCAGCCTCTTAAACTGGCCCAGCATGCAGTGAGTGGCCAGAGTGGGAGAGAGAGAGCTTGTTGAATAGAGGGATCAGCCTGTGGAAGGCAGGATTCTGTTTGTTTCTATTACAGCAGGCAATTACTAAGCAGTGAGGAGTTAATTCCTCCCCCCTCCTCGTGTCCTAAAGTGTGGCCCTCGGTCATTGACACCCATTTTAATGTGATACTTAAAGCTGTCACCTTTAACTTTGGGAGATCTGCAGGTTACCCTCTTAATAGCACAAGAAAGTCAAAATGCTAACACGTGCAAATTCCATCCGGAGAGTTTCTCGTAGATCTGCGTCATGTTATAACACGCATAGTACATTCAAAGCAATCCAACTATATGAGGAAGGAGACTCTTTTAGGCAAAACCATATGTACGGGGGAGAAGACTGCGAGCTTTGACTGGGCACATGTGTCGACAGGATGTGCAGCTCCAAAGATTGCTCGCTAACAATGCTATGCGGTTGCAAGCCAGGAAGCCTATCTATCATAGAAATGATGACCATTAAAGAACAATGTCCATCTATGACGTCACTAGAGCGGCTTGTATATTCAGGGACCCAGCAGCGCGGGAACGGCAGCGAGCAGCCTAGTGGCCCACCAGACCACCTCTATTCATCAACACAAAAGTGCTCAGAGGGGTGCTAATTGCATTAGGCGTCCTTCTCCCTTCCTCAGTGGCCAGAGTGTGTGTGTGTGTGTGTGTGTGTGTTGTGTTGTATATGTGTGTGTGTGTGTGTGTGTGTGTGTGTGCCTGGGGAAGGGTGTGTCGGGTAGAAAGGAGGGGAGAGGATAGAGGAAAAGAGGAGAGGATTGGCAAGAAGTGTGGGATGTTTGAGAAGTAGGGGAGGCTGAGTGTGACGGTGTATGGTGGGAGCTGGCCAAGCCCACAAGCCTTCAGGCAGGCGTCCCCTCTGTCACCTCTGCAGCTGCTGGCAACGTCTCCAACCCCCGTCACACAAACACACGGGACGCGACATCCCCGCTTCCTTTAGATCACCACAAATAACAACATTGTGAATTCACACATGTGGTCACTCTACGGCGGCTATCTCGCTCGCTGTGTGTTTAACTTTTGCCCCTCTCAGTTGTCTACCTGCGCAGGGCTGCAGTATCGCCGTGCATTCTCTCTGTGCATTGGTGAGTTGTAGTTGGAAATGCTAAGCCCTCAGAAAAGAGGAAATCTCAAAGGCGAGTGGCTTCCTTCTTCAACTAAATTAGATGTTTTCAGAGCCTGCAGCCGTGAGAAGGCTTTGTGGCTCAGAAAATAAATATTTTTCTGGGCTCTGGTTGTGAGTCAGTATTTGTCTTGCCGTGTGAGTACATTCACACTAGCCATGCCAAAATCTAGATGGATGCGATATAAGTCCAGAGAACCTGTTGTTTTCACGTCAACTCAATGGCATTTGTGTCTGATCAGCCGATAATCCAGAGTATTCATGGTATTTTTAGTGTTAATACTATACGCTTATAATAATCACGACTAAAAGCAATACTGTCTATTAAGGGCTGGCAAGTAATAGATTAATAGTAGTAAGATAGTAGTAGTGTATTGTCTAAAAATGGCTTAACATGAGCTGTAGTGCTCCTGTAGTCTAGTGTAAACTGTTCACTGAGAGGACGTATTGACATTCTGTATTTAGTGATTTAAATTGTGTGCAGCATTGTTTTGTCCTAAATAGCACAAAAATATGTGGAAATTATTAATGTGATGCAATTGTCAAACCCTTGAAAACTGCTTTATGTGATGTAAATACAGCAGAAAATTGGCAGTTGTTGCACTACTACTGCTACATCGGTGACACATTGGCTATTGTGTGTCACAGTAATCAATTGCTGCTACAGTATGTAACGGCTAATAACTGCAGTATGACAGTGCTGTAGTATTTGTCTTTTGAGTATGTGTGGACGGGAGAAAAAATACGGTTAACATAAAGTCAACATTTGGCCAATTTGTTTGTTCTTTTATTGTGCAGTCTTTAGGTTTTCAGTGCAGATTTTTATAAGTCACATGCAAAGGGTTGGTTTGAAACAAAGTGCTAAAAGTATGATTGCTGGCCAAAATAATTGGTGTAGGAGTACATTACTGACCTACTTTTAAAGGTACATGTCTTGTTTTTACAGATAGACTTGAAAATGTTCTTATTTGGTTACTACAAGAGCAAAATGGCAGCATACTCAGCATCCACATAATATGATCAACAATGCAGTGGCCAGTGTAGAATATGTAGAATGTAATGGTATTTTTTTTTAACAGCACATAAATGTTTTTGGGTCATTTTAAATAATGCTGTTTTATTATTTTGTACACCTTGTGGTGACAGTAAATGTATTTATAATATTGCACGTGACAAGATATTAACAACAATAGAAAGATCTCTCTTCTGGCATAGGGGGCTCTCCTAGGCGTCAGTGTCACCTCAGCAGCTCTCCACCTTGTTTTAATTGCCTTCGAGTTAATTACTCCAGTAAGTGTGAAACAATGTTGTCAGACTTCTCCTGCACAGCCGTGCTTTCGCTCCTTCCTCTGCACCCCCGTTGGCCAAATGGAGGCTCCATAGGCGGATGAGTGGTGTATTGAAAATAGCTGTGAAGATGAAGTTACTCTCTTAACTCTGCTTGTTGGTCTCATAGGCCTACTCGGTGCAGGTTATTGTTGACAGTGATAAGATGTGATTTTTGTGGGTTAACTACTACATTTTTGTGTGTTTAGTACATGTGAAAATACTTGTGGTCTGCCAGCAATTTTGGATGAAGCTGGAGTGTCTTGAAGTGGAAAAGAGAAGGTGTTTGAATTAAAATACGCCAGGCTAGAAGCAGGCAGGCTCATTGTTGATGTCTCTCCTCTAAAGTGGATTTTTATCTCGCTAATTTGGTATTACTTCTCCTGGCACCGAGCTTTGGCTGAAGTGTCTCCATACAAAGTCTGTCATCTTTATTTAGCAGTGAGCTCGTCACCAGTGTCCTGTGCTATTGGACATGGTTGACGGTGGTGCAGCGCTTTATTAGTGCTGTGGCCTTTCAGTAGGGCTGATCTGACAGTGAGCAAGGCTGATCTTTTGAGGTCCCCTCTCCTCCCTGCTCGCCTGATTCTCCATGCCACTGGCATCAGCTCCATAGATCACGGCTGTCGCAGCGTGTGTAGGTGCTTGCACCGCTCTGTTAGTCTCATCACTCATTCTCACTCGTCAGCCAGGCTGCTGATCTCACCCAGACCCCTCTCACTCTTGTTCCTTCCTCCCTCTCTCTCCCCCCTCTCTCTCATCCCCCTTGCTTTCTCCTTCCACCCGCTCACTCTCTCTTTTGCTTTCTCACACACATTTTTTTAATTAGGCAAAAATCAAAGACGAAATATGAATATTCATAAGGAAACCGCATTAATATGCACAATTATGCAAATCAGCATGCAATTAAGCCTTGTGTCTCCAGAGAGCCTGGATAGCATTAGTGCATAAGACAGGGAGAAGGGGATGATGGGGGTATTTTGGAGTTTTCTGCTCCACCAGTCTTTTGGCTGTGTTTTCTTTGTGCCACACATCGGTTCTTTCTTTACCTAAAACATAGTGGTTCCATTTTTTGGCTTTACACATTTTGTTTTGTGTCACGTTATGTGTTTGTGGTGTGTCAAATTGACTGAGTGGAATTAAAATGTGGTTTAGATGGCTTTTTAACCTCTTGGATTACATTAGGGTGTGAATGGTTAATTTTCTGCTATTCAGTGACCATAATGAACACTAATGGGAACACTGAGCAGCGTTTCCTACATGTTTTCCCCAGAAATGGTTTAACATTGCAGTGCATCTTGAATGCAGCAGAGATGCTTTTGATCAATAGTGATGCTCTCTCCTGCCTTGTGCAAGCCCATTGTGGCCAGTTAAAGACATCGAATGTTGAGAGTAGGATGCAGTGACAGATTTCTTTGATATGACTCCAACATCGGGCCATATATATCTGTAGTATCTCATAGGATAATAATTGCATGTTCACCATTGGGGATTGCTAACGCTCTTTTAGCAGCTCGACTTCAGACTAACATGCAGATAGTCTGTATCTGTCAGTCCTAACAATATGTCTTTTTTACAGCAATAGATGAGCGCAGCGGCTCTGGGTCTTGGGGCTCCACAGAACAGAGCAGTCCCTCATTCAGCCAAGGACGGGTAAGATCTAAATACACTCACACTCTTTAGTCGCACATGATTTTAAGTGTGCAGATCTAAGCAGTAACACCAGATGCCATGATACTGTCATACACTTGCACGTATTCAGCTAATCACTCTGCCATAGATGAAAACACACACACACACACACTCTCCCCCAACCACCACAACAGCTTAGTACTTTTTGCTGCCGTGTGCCATATTTGATTTGAAGTCGTAGTTTTACTTTCTACCTAATAACCTTGGCCCAGGATCCTGCATTGGCAAGCTCTCTGGTAGCCCAGAATCTCTGTTGAAGCCCACCGGTAATTGCAGCTTCACATCCACCATAACTGTCTTGGCACAACTCTGTGTAAATACAAGAAACAGGGGGTGAAACGGATGCGGCAAGCTTTGATTACCACAAGTTGATAATTAAGAAAGTCGGTTTGAATCCCCCGAGCTGATGCAGATTTGTTTGGCATGGATCCTGTTAGACAGAAAAGCAGAGGGAGGGTAACCACTAAGCCATATAGGAGTGCAAACAAAATGGGGGTGGCCTTGAAGAGTTGTTATCGTTTAGGTATGTGGGTGTGTTAGAGCGTATTTGCCTAATGTTGGTGTCCGCATGTTCTTTGTTTACATTTTTCATGTCTTTTTGAGGTTAATCGCGCTGCTTTTGTGTGCACTATTGTTCCTATAGGGCTATGGAGAAGGATCCCACTACAATGAGCATGAAGGCTTGTCTTCTCCTTTCATCAGTTCAGGGATTGCTGGTATGTTTTCTTTCTTTATTGGTTTTCTTTACATAATCTTTAACATGTGACTTTTATCTGGTGTGGTTTTTAACATTTTAGCTAAGTGAGTGTATAAAATTAGTAAAATTAACATTTTGGTGACAGAAGAGTGTTGCTTTGTCACACTCGAGTTTTAAAATCGTCATGTTGATAATGGTCTGTTGTGCATACTTTGTTATGACCGCAGAATTGTTTTCTGGATTGCAAAATGTGTATGTGTGGCTACATGCATGTATACGCGTGTGTGTGTGTGTGTGTCTGTGTTCATTCGTTGAGTGTTGGGGATGTTAAGGCACTGAAGCAGAAACCTTCCCTAGGGTTTTGTCTGGCGGGCGGCTTTATGCAGCTGAGCGTACTGAAAAAGGGGAGGGCATCTCTGGACTTTTTGTACTTTTGAAAACCTACTTTTCGCTTGTATTTGCACACACCATTGCATCTTAATGCGTGTATACAGCTCAGGGTTTCACTGTACGCAATAACGTTCACACAACCATCACTGTCATCTCACAGGTAAAAACGAGAGGCCTCCATACCCCCCCTTCGGAAGCCAGGTATGTTGTCGCCATGCTGATGAGACGTAAATTCAAGTACGGCGCTAGTGTAAAGGAAACCCGGTTTTCTCACTTCCCTTTTCATGTTAGACACTTTGAATGAACAACAGTCTTGAGTTCTTGCAAGAGAAAATGATTGTTTCTGCTGTTCTTTCCCACACCCCTGTATGTATTATTAGTAAAACCGTGTCTCGCTCTCCTCTTCTAGCCGGGTTTTCTTCCTAGCGACATAGCGATGCCCAGCCCAGATGCCATGTCCCCTTCTGGTCTCAAGTCTGGCTCTCAGTTTTATCCGTCATACCCCAACAACCCCAGGAGAAGGCCGACTGATGGAGGCATAGGTAAAGTCAGGGGCATGTTGTTCGGGGACAATTTTTCTGTCTTTCTTTGAATTTTCCACTATTCCCCTTCATGTTTATTTTTTTTTTTTTTTTTAAATCCCCTTAACTAGGGCTGAAGCTAATAGTTGTTTTCATTTTGATTATTCTGTCGATTATTTTCTTAATTACCTGATTAATTGCTGGATCTATAGTATATGACAAAATGCAGAAAAATATTCATCGCAGCCAAGGGAATGTCTCTTAGCTTGTTTGACCAATGAGACAAAATTCAAAAGATATCAAGTTAAGCTAAGAAAACCAGCAAGTGTATGTCTTTGTCTGACAAATCCTTTCACTGCAGACGTATGTACAGATGAACACACAGCAGCAAATCATTCACACTGACATGCACATACACAGTAGCTCCCACTTGCTGCAGCATGTTTTGTGTTCTCTGTTCTGCAGGTGAAATTAGAGCAAGCGCACAATGAAACTGCACCTGAACCGACATAACGTTTGCAAATGCGTCTTTGCTGGAGTCCTTATTTGTGTTTTTGTCTCTTTGCTCCCTGTACATAGACACCCAGCCAAAGAAGATTCGGAAACCCCCTGGCCTGCCGTCCTCGGTGAGAGCGTATTTCTGCTCGTCTTCACAGCTCACAGCCAGTCCTCTCTTTTCTCTCTCTCTTGCTCTCTCTCACTCTCTGTTTCTCTCTCTCTCTTTTTCCTCTCCACACATACGCACTGCTTTTCCTACTCTGCTTGAGCAGTTCTGTGACAGACAGGGTAAAGACCCTCTGCTCAGTCAGACTCTCAGCGAGCTGACAGTTAGGTAACTCAGGCCCCAATAAACATCATTACTGTGGTTGTCTCTACAGTCAAGTGGTTTCAAGTGGTGTTCAAGGTTGATTGTCATGTAGACGAGCAATTTTGTAGGATTTTGAGGCACTTTGTCAAGGCTGTCCAATTTGTATTATACTTTTTTGGGAGCGGAGTTAGGTTTCACACATATTAACGCAGAAGTGGTCCAAGCAGGTTTGGTTCTGAGAGCTGGTTTCATTTTTTTGATCAAGTTTAAAGTTTGTCTTGTTAAAGCTGCCATATGTAAGCATTTTATTATGAACTTTCAGTCGCTGCTAACCAGCTTGGCCTGACCTTTCGTGCGTTTCCCTACCTGTGAGCTGGGCGGGTCGCCGTTGTGGCAGTCATCAGCATCATTTACTACGTCTCCCGTGAGTTGCTCGTTCTGCAGATGGACTCCCAACTCCACCGTCTTGGACTGCAGCTGGCAGCGGTCATCCTTGTTCTGCTCTCCAGGAGATTTGCTGGGAGCTGGAGGGCCACTCCAACCAGAACGTGCAGCAGGTGGAGAACTGGTGTATATGCTGCTATGCCAGGCTCACCCAGGCTGCAGAGCAGAACAAGGATGCCATAAAGTCCACCCGTGATGAGATAGTCAACTATTGTTGGCAGCTGCAGTCCAGAGCTGGAGTATGTCTGTGGGACGAGAAACTCATTGGTGAGGCAGCTGAATGACGCCAAGGACCGCCACAGTGGTATCCTGGTCAGCCTGCAGGTAGTGACTGGACTCCGGTGTAGGTACTTTTGGGCAGCCCTGAAAAAGTGCTGCGTGAGACTCAATGCCAGCGAGTTAAACAAAATTTTTTCCTGCTCTCTTTATGTTGATGTCAATCTGCTGTTGCTGCAAAGGAATAGTTCCTGCAGTTGAAAGTCACATGTGCTTGGATTTTTACCATAAATATGAGGTTATTTGTAGCTCTCATTCTTTGAAATTGTTTAAAGTTCTGTTGGATTCCAGTTTGTTTAGCTGATTTGATAGCGCATTCATCAGAGTGCTATCGATCCACAACCCGAAGTCCAAGCAGTATGAAGTATCTCATAGTGCTTTGATTTACTGTACCAAGTGTCACATTTTGTCAGCGGGCCCAGAGTTTCTAGCAGCTGATGCAGCTGATGTGTGAGGACTACGACATGCACGCATAACTGGAAATACTAGTCACTGATACATGTTGGAGTATACACCAAATGAGTACTGTTACTGTTAGTTTAAAGCAACTTGACAAAGACTCAGGCTGCAGTTGTCCGTGTCATGCCAATTTGTACATCATGTTCATAATCTAAGTCTGTGTCTTGTGTACTGATCACAATCTACTTCTGCTAAACCGTTTAAGCTACTGTAGATTATATATGACTCAGAATTTTGTTAATTTGAATACCACGTCACATTTTCAACCCAAGACAAGATTCTTGTAAAATGTTCTACTTCAGATACCTAAAAGTCCTTCATGGGTTTGAGACAGCTGATGTGTTGCCTAAAAAGATGGCAAACATGATATTTAAAAACAGAAGAACTTAATGTTTGTCTGTGCTAGTTGCTATTAAAACCCTGAACTTAATGCTTTAGCTGCCACTGGATCAGCAATATGAAATACGGCCATTGCACAAACATTTTCTGTAACCCTGTCCTCACGCGACTGTAGTTCTCAGATGACACGAGTGACCTAAAAGATAATCTGGAGATGGAACCTTTGCATCTTCACACTTGTGGCATCTGAGTTTCAGCACAGTGCCTTGAAGCAACACATCAACAAGTGTTTTAGGATTCTCAGCCCTCTGTTTGACCTGCGGTTTCATCATTTTGATGTATGTTTCACAAGTCTTGATAGCAAAAGTTGAACAAGTTTCTGTAACAGAATTGACTCACGTCTATGCTGTTGTTTTTTTCTTTTGCATGGATGAAGTAAATTCAAAGGATTTATATGGCTGACTTGGTCCAAGTCAGAGCCACGGATGCGTAATCTGGCAGGAAATTAAGTCAGGCGTTAATAGCTTTGCGTTTTCGCTCTTAGTTTGGGATCCAGTTGCAAATGATGCAACTGCTCTAGCCGGCTCTATTGATTAGATGGGTGTTTATCAGATTGACTTACTCGTCAGTGTGGAGACAGATCAGAGTTAGACCTCATGAACTCTCTGCTTGCCCAGTGTTTAGGTTTCTTGTTTGTTACATGAAATGAAGACGTCGTCGTTGAATGACAATGCTGCCGTCCTCCACCTGTGGGTGTTGTCGTGTTGAAGTGGCTGCTGAAACCTCGGCGTGCAGACACACTTGGCCGTAGCGACAACATCACAGAGATTGAGTGTATGCGCTCTGTCTCGTCCAGGCCCCCTTTTTTTTCACTGTCTGAACCTCAGTCATTCCCCGCAGTGTGAACGATGGCTGCGTGGTTTTAGTGCGAATGAGGAGATGTCTGTGTGTGTGTGAACCCCCCTCCCCCACCTCACCCGGCCCTCCGCCTACGCTTCACCACATGATGGCCTGGGTGGGCCTCCCCCTGTGAGTGACCCAGTTGTGAGGCGCAGTGCTTGCGAGGCCTCTTAGCCCCGTGTCTGAGCCCAGATTAATGACTGCCGATGATGATCCTGTGGTCTTTCCTCCCTCCCCACACTCCTCCCTTCCCGCTTCTCTTCAACACCCCATCAACATGCTCTTCTTCTTTTTCTTTATCTACTTTTGTTGCACGCTAAATCAGTAAATGGATAAAGAATAGCTGCACTGTAAATGCCATTTCCGCCGAACTACCTGACTTCTGTATCCCACCGATACCTGTATACAAGCTCCCTGCCCTAACCCCATGAACCTTCACCCCCTCTCATGTGTAACAAAAAAAAAAAAAACATGGTGGAGCTTCTCTTCTGCCCCCTAGTTGTCCAGTAGACTAACCACAAACCCTTGTGGTTGAATAAAGCGCTTTGAGGTTAGTTTGATGTTAATCTTCATCTACTCCCCACCCACTTGCCACAGCCCGTGTTTTTCTAATGTAGAGACCTTTACACGGTCATAACCTGAATTACATTAAACCCCTATTAGTTGAGGATTTTACCCTAGAAATCCCTTTCTTCCTGAGAATACAATTATCCAGCAGCACTAGTCATTGTGTAGTTCTGTGTTCCCATCTAGAGCAGCAGGATTCACTCGACATTGTTCCCCGTGAAAGAACAACTCAAAGCCTATTGTTAAATGAAGCCATCTCCATCATGTTTTCCCCTGAATTAACCGTGATCATTTTAAATCCCCTGTTTCCTTCACACTCCCCTGGCCATATCAAGCTTTGTTTAAGTCATTTAGATTACCTTCTCCTGTCCCCCTCAACACCCCTTATCTCTCTACCCATTTCATAAATCATCAGGGCCTTCATTTTTTCCCCCTCAATCCTCCCCCTTGCCCCTTTACCACCCCCTACCCACTGCAATCTCTCCCTCTTTCTCTCTCTCTTTCTCTCTCTCTCTCTCTCTCTCTCTCTCTTGCTGACTGGATCCCAGCCCCCATCTCTCTCCCTCTCTTCGCTCCCTCTCCTCAGCCCAGCTGCCTGTGGAGTTGGATGTGGTCCAGGAACAGGCAGATGGCTCTGTAATTAGAAGTGCATCTCTCCATTCCCTTTCCACTTCTCCCTGTTAAATCAAATTACAGAAAAAATCCCTTCTCTGGATTAGCATTCTTTGCAGCATAGCCTCCATTCTCTTTCTCTCTTCCTCTATCTGCCATGCACTACAGAGGAGGAGAGGAAAAGAAGGACCGAGTGGCGGCTGATGGTGTCTGGAAACTGAGGGCTTCTCATGTTCGCCTTCGGTCTGTGTATTTGGAGCATCCATTTTTTTTTTTTTTTTTTGTTACCAATATGTAGAAAGGATGCTCGATTGGACTCTTTAGGATGCCAATATTAAAAGTCCAATTTCATCAGGGCTGTTCGTTTCTGAATATTTCCAATCCTCTGTTGATGCCATACAGAATGTGATAGTGCTAGTTTGAAGACATTGCTGTTGGATTGGGCATGGATGGGTGTGTTGGCTCACTGAATGCATGGTATGTGTGCGAGCTGATACTGAGTGTGTTATAGGGAGGGGCTGCAGGCCAGGCAGTGCGATGTCACTGGGGTCCTAGGAGCTAGAGGAAGTGCTCACTGTGCACTGGGATTCAAGCCGTCGCTGTGCCCAGCATGCCATGGCCACTGTGTTCTCCTCTACAGGCGAGGAGCCGGCCTTCCTCCTCCACGAGCAGACTCCCTCTTGCCATCTTGTGGCCACTTGAAGCTAGTGTAATTAAATGGTTTTCCATAGCAAGGATAAGGCGGATCAATACTGCTTCATCTCTTATAATGCTTGGGGTTACATAGGGAAATTCCAGGGTCATAAATTATCAATGCTATTGAAGTATATAGTAGTTATTGCAGAAACTGCAGTCCAACCGCTCGGTGTCTTTGTGTTTGTTTAGGTGTATGCTTCCACATCTGGTGATGAGTATACCAGGGACAATGGAGGATATCCTGGTGGTAAGCCTGGAGCCGTGTACCCTGGCTCCTTCTACATGCAAGGTAACCTTTTCTCCAAACATCACCTCAATAGTTGTGTCCTGTTATCGTGTTTGTAAAGCAGTTTGTTATTTATTTCTTCTATTTTTTATTTTTTTTATAATACCATATGTGCTTCCTCTTTTCTCAGAAGACCCTTGGTCATCTTCCGGCTATTCTGCCATGCTGGGTAATTCCCCTCACATTGGACAGCCAGGATCCTTCTCTGCAATTAACCAACAGGACAGGATGGTGAGTAGAAACGGCCTTTATGGTCATTTCCCCTTCAATTTCAAGTGTATTACTTTAAGATTCACGATTATCTTGGCATTAAAATTTTGCTTCATGCATTATTTTAAAACTGCTGTTAAAATGTAATCTTAAACTATTCTGTTAGTAAATGTTTCAAAGTGGGTTATTTCCTGTGAGCAGATTTTGTGCCTTATGAAGCTACTTGTATCCTTTCTCCAGAAGCGTCAACCCCTGCCTCTGTCCCCACAGAACTATCCTCTGCATGGCAGCGAAGTCAACGGCTTCCACTCAGCCCCCACCACCTACAACCACACACCCACCATCAACGGAGAAGGCATCATGGGTAATGAACCTATCACAAAAGTATCATGATGGCATCTTTCACGGATTCAGCTGCCGTGGTCATTTCACTTTTATTTTTCTCTCAAGAACAAATGAACAGGTCACTGACTTGCTTTACTTATTTTGTCTCAGCAGCCAACCGAGGCACCAACGCTGGCAGTTCAGGAGATGAAATTGGGAAAGCTCTTGCCTCAGTGAGTCATTCTCAGTTTTTTTTTCTTTTTTTAAATTGCTGCTGGGCAATAAAACACTTAAAATCATTTTTCCAAGAATTGTATTTCCTCTGACAAAGATTCTACTAAGAACAAATAAGTACAAATTCAACTAAGGACTTGTGCGTTGACAAAAATCTTATTATGTTATTTTGGTTGTTTAGAGTTTCATATAAAATCATCTACTTGTAAAATATGCTAAGAATAAACATCAGCACAAGTATTTGAATTGTACAAACAATTATTATTTCTGTGTTTTTGGCAGATTTTCAGATATTTTGCACAAACATGGAACCTGAACATTTCAAGATGTTGGCAAAAACATAGAACACTTTATCATTTTTATGCAGAACAAATCTAACTAATAATTAAATATTTCCTATGACATGATTTCTTCTTCTCGCTTATTTAACTGTCCAAACTCTTTGCAAGAAATAGTTTTCATAACATGCACATGACTGGTTTGTGATATTGTATGACGTAGAAAAGTGTGGGTATTTTTATCCCTATTGTACTATTCTAGCAGTTAAAAACATTAGCCCTATGAAGTTTTGTGATTCATTGTACATGTTTTGACCAATTCTTTCAGATTTACCCATCGGACCACAACTGTAATAATTTCTCCTCGGCTCCATCTACTCCTGGATCTCCTCAGGCTATTGCAGGTATAGTTACATTCTCACATACAGATAATAATAGTGTCACATGGTTACTACTTGTATATGAAAAGCTTCAAATTAATGATAAGTTCTAGTCCATCTTTAGTGCATCCTGCAATCTGTATTTTCTGATCACCTTTTAACTCACATTAATTCTGTTCTACCTTGCTTTGATGTCAGTTTCATGTTAACCTCAGAGTTTATTACGTTTTACCAGTCAAATGATGGTAAACTTAGGTTATCTTCCTTTTCTTCTGGTTTTAACTTTGCTGTGCAGCCATGAATCTGGATAAAAGATTAATTCCATTTACAGAACACCATCTTTAGTCCCATTATTTTACATGTTTAGTTGTTTAGTTTGGTGGGAAACTTGTTTTTGGCACAGAAATAGAAGTCAGTTGAACTTATTGAGTGAAAATGATACTCTACATTTTTTCTATGTTCATAAGCACAAAAATGCGCATGCAGCTCCATCTGGTGTAAGACTATGAATTACTGCTGAACCCAGTCCCAATATTTCTATCTGCAGGAGCTCAGTCTCAGTGGCAAAGACCAACCACACCCAACTATGAAGGGCCGCCACACCCACTGGTATGTTGAGATATTTGTCTGCTACATCAAAGATAATTTGAAGCCTGAATTTGCCCATGTGAACATATTCTTCCAGCCTTTCTATGGCATCTTTATGTTTAGTTTAGTGCACAATAAACATACTGTTGAAGTCTTTGTTATCTTAGCTCATCATACATGTATTTCTATAGCAGAGTAAAATGGAGGACCGTTTGGAAGAGGCCATCCATGTGCTCCGTAGCCATGCTGTGGGCCAGGGCCCTGGCTTAGAGGGCGCCCACTCCGACATGCACAGCCTGCTGTCCTCAGTACACAACGGGGGCCTCGGAGGCCTCTCTCCAGCTTTCCCCAATGCTAGCCTCGCACTCAGCAACAGACATCCTGCTATGGTGAGTCACCTACTCTGCTCAACTTGTATTCTTTTATGGGTGTTTAAAAGAGACTTGGGATTTTTAATAACATGTGACAACAACACAAAGCAAACAAAAGTGTCCATTTATACAAAAATTTCTCTCAGCTATTTCTGAGGAAGCTGGAATAATTGATGGAGTTTCGTGGAAGGGCTAACACGAACCATCACGTGCAACAGTCCGTAATCAAATGATAGGAAACACTTTATTTTGTAATGTGATTTTTAAGCTGCACAACAAATTGTTCTTTTTATGGATTAGCTCTGTGCTTTATTTGGCAAGAAACAAATGAAAAATAGAAGGAAAGCAATTTAATTTCTAGGAACTTTATTTCCATGAGAAACAAAAACGTGTCACAGGATCATTTATGCCATCTGCTGGCCAAGAAGTATATTGCATGAAATTAATGGTAAACGTTTATTTTTTATTTTAATGCTCAACATTTACTGAATGAGGTAAAACCGAATTCTTGAAAATATTAGCAAACAACATGTTGATTATTGGTAATTTTTACAAAATATTAAGTTATTGTAGTTCAGTGGCAAACACGTTTTTTCTTTGCAGCCTCACTGACATCTTTATCTGCAAGTTGGACCAACACATTTTGATTGGGACATCTTTTGCAGACTGTTTTGTAGTTTTACAGTTGTACATTTTCTGTCCTTTTGGGATTAAAATTATTGTTGTGCACCTTCATCAGCAGGGAGGCAAACATGAGGAGCCCACAGGCCTTCCTCCCAGCAGCACTCTCCTGCACGGCCATCACGCATCCGGACCCACACCGTCAGTTGGCCAGCCGGAAGGCTTTACCAGTAAGTTTGACTAATAGTTAGCTTTTTAGCAGAAGATTGTAGTGAGCCTTTTATTTGTGGCCCAAAAGTACTGAAATGAGAAGTAGTTTGAAGCAGTTCTACTTTATTAGCTTTTCACATTATGACTCATGTTATATCGCTTCCTAAAATTTAAAGTCTTTAGTGTCATGAAAGAACTACATTTTCACATTTGTGTGTTCGTCCCTAGGTCTTCCTGGTGGCATGGCCCGCTCCACACACTCCTCCAGCAGCTCAGACATCAAAAGAGAAGACAAAGAGGATGATGAAAACTCATCCATTGCAGACAAGTCAGATGACGAAAAGAAGGACTCCAAGGCAGCACGCAGTCGAACAAGGTAATGTCCCTAATTTGTTCTTTGGTCTTTGTATTTTCACCTGAAACTTCATGAAATAATTCCACCCTGCTGTAAGATTCAATGTTACCCCACAAAGATGGAGATTTTCTTGTCACTGTGAGACCATAAGGAAATAATGCTGGAGATGTCCACTACAAGGATCCACTGTCCCTTTTAAAAGACAGTGTACATCATCGTAGTCGTCTGTTCTTTCCTATGTTTCCCGCTGATTGCCTAGGCTATGTTAGGTGATTAACAGTGTCAAAACCCCCCTCCCTTCATGTCACGTTTTCAGAAAGGAGGCGTTGACCCTCCAGATGCTCTCTGGTCTTTCAGACCCGAAAGATGAGTAAGTTTCTCCGATAGAGAATCAATTTCTTGTGCTTTGTTGGCTCTTGCCAGACATCACTCAAAGCACATGTTCAAGGAGCTGGTGTCTAAAATCTGACCTTTGATTTGGCAGAGTCTTTGTTCTATTATGACACTCTGAACTTTATTGCCCATCACTCACTATCACCATTTCTGTACATTTGCTGCCTATGAGTTTTGAAATGCATTTTGGTACATTGATAATTACACCCACAAAACTAAAGAAAAACAGTGACAACACTACAGTAGTGAACAAGAACCGTAAGGAACAAAAAGGTGAAGGCCAAAGCAACAACTTATCATGCTTCCCTTCTTACAAGACAGTTTGAAGCTAAACTTAAGGATAAAGCCCCAAACAATGCACACACAGAACAGGATAGTGTTAAACATAACCCTATCCAACTGATGTGAGATAATCGTTTTGATCAAATTATCATCTGAAGTGGAAGTTGCTGCTTCTTGAATTACGAGTATTTACTTTAACATAGTCTTAGGTATTAAGATAAGCCTTTATTAATCTCACTGTGCAGAAATGTGTAGTGTTACAGCAGAAAAGGAGATGAAGATAAGGAGCAAAACAAAAACAAAAAATAGACACAAGTACTGATTTTTCCATAGGTGGATGTTCAGATATTGCACAGATTCCTCAGGAAGTGGAAAATAACAATATTGCACATATCAACTGTATTGCACAGATTCTTCATTGAGTAGAACTGCTGATGTGGCTCAGATTTTATCTATATTGCACATTTTCTTCTGTAGTAGAAAGCTACTGATATTGCACATATTTGTGTATATGTAAAACATTGATATCGCACAGTAAGCTCTTATTTTTAAGTTCTCTCACATCTTATTTTTCTTGCATTCTTTCAATACAAAAGTGTGGGTTTCTAGTCTCTGCTATAAAAATTAAAGCTGCTAATTGGTAATTACAGGGTTGCATGAGTTTGGTGGGTTGTTTTGGAAAGTCTTCTCGCCCATGTCTTCATCTGTTCATCTCTGTTTGTAACTAGTCAGGACAATGAAGATGACGAGGACCTTCCCCCCGAGGTGAAGATGGAGCGTGAGAGGGAGCGGCGAGTGGCTAACAACGCCCGTGAGCGTCTCAGAGTACGGGACATCAACGAGGCATTTAAGGAGCTTGGGAGGATGTGCCAGCTGCACCTCAGCCACGACAAACCTCAGACCAAACTGCTCATTCTTCACCAAGCTGTCAATGTCATCCTCAATTTAGAACAACAAGTCAGAGGTCAGTCTGCAGACAGAATGTTATCGGTCAGACTCACAGTTTTCAAAATCTCTGTTAGCCCCTTGAACTCTAAGTAGTTTCTTGGTGTTTTTTGCTCCTGTCACATTTCTACTCACAGAGGGCTTGTTTTTTACTGTAATTAACTAAAAAGTCCTGCAGCTCTGTAGAAACAGCACAACTATGGCTGGAAACAGAGAGAACTTACACATGTGTTTTGTGCAGAATGACACTTATAATGCCATTGTTCATAAAACAATCAAAAAAGTTACATTTCTCTGATTAATTACTTTTTAAAATTGTCAACATTGTTCCAAGTCCCCTCAGGTGTTGCAAATAGTAAAAAAAAAAAGAAACAAATAAAACAGTGAATCTACATCCTGTAGATATTTTACTGACTTTATTTTTGATCAGATTTTTAGTGGACTCGCTTATATCATCACAGTTGTACAGATTTTTGATTTATTTTTTTTTTGTATTTCAGATTCTAGTCAGTACAAACACTTGTTTTATGCCAATTTTTAAAATGAGAAATGTAGTGATTTTGATTCAATATTAGGATTTTAAGCTCAGATTTGGCCACTTTTCCAGAGTTACTAATAATTTCAAGGACAGTTGAAAAGCTGAAAATCAAGCGACTATTTCTGTTTCTACAGTTTCTGGCTCTGACGAATAGTACAGTTTTTAAAATGTATTTATTTAACAGCCTTTCAAACCCGCTGGTAGGATTGAGGGGTTGAGAAGTTTAAACACGGTTTATTTCTTTTTACTGAGAAGTCCTGTTTCTGCTTTCTCTTTCTCTTTCAGAGCGCAACCTTAACCCCAAGGCAGCATGTTTAAAACGCCGCGAGGAAGAGAAGGTGTCTGGGGTGGTGGGTGAAGCACCCATGCAGCTCTCAGGAGGCCATCCTAGCATGGGAGGAGATGGCCACAATCCAGTTGGCCACATGTAACACCAGGTAGGTGGGAGACTGGCTGTTGCTAGTATTTGCTGCACAGTTTTATTGTTAAAGTTTGTGTTATGGACAAGTACCACTGCATAATGTTTGTGGTCCTTCCTTTTTTTTTTACAGATCTGGTGGTGTTTCCCTGGCTGTCAGAGGATGTGGCCTTAACAGATTTCTTCCACCCATTATTCTCAGTGTGTGTGTATATGTGGACATGTCTGTGTATTGTCCGTTCAAGTTTCAAGATGCACATTCACACACTCGTACACACATGCATACTGCCAAAACTGACACAGCCTGTTTGTCGCACTCCCAACCATGACTACAAGCTCAAATGTGAAGAACTTTTTTTTTTTTTTTTTTTTTTTTTTTTGCTGTTGTTTATACATGTAAGATTTTTATTTTCTTTTTTGGTTTCCACACAATGATGGAATGCCGGAGTACTTTTTTGTCCTGCCACACATTGGGACTTCACACACTGCCGAGAGGTGCTCTGGTGGAAAAAAACAAAAAAAGGAGACCTAAACAAACACAAATTGAATCAAGGATTTGTGCCTAATTGTTACATGTTTTCTATTTGACATTTAAGCAAATTGCTTTACATGTGAGGAACATTTATTGTGAGGGATTGCTTATGTGTATGAGCAATTATTTTTTAATGTATGTCATTCCCAGCGTGATGGTACAGTCTTACATATGTTATGTAACCAAGCCCATAGTTGAAGTTGAATTGTCAAAATTCAGTCACTTTTTCCTTGTGTGTGTGCGTGTGCGTGTGTGGAAGGTGGTGGAAAGGTCGCAAGGCAAACGTCGTAGTTTTGACAGTTCAAATGCAGCTTAACATGAAAAATGGGAACTCTGACCTAGAGGCTGTCTCTGACTGAAGCCTGGTCGCATCCCACAAGGCATCTGGAGACTTGGAATCGAAGACTTCTTCCTTGAAGGTTATGAATTATCCAAGCGGTAGAATCTGTCAACTACAAAAACTGTTCTTCCTCTTTGTTGACCACGAATTCTAGTGTTACTCCAGTAGTCCCTTGTTATAGATCCAGGTTTTTGTACTGCTTTATGTACTAAAGCATACATTGACAAGACAAAGCACAGTTGTATAGTTCTAGGCTGGAAGTTAAGTGTTGACCTGTATTGCATTTCAGTCCCTGAAAGTCTTGTACAAAAGCCATTTGAATCACTCGCTAAGTAAACGGCACCATTTAGTGCTGTTGCTTTCTTGAAATGGTTTACTGACAGTGCCAGCAGACTTAACAGCTCAAGTCTTTCCCCTTAATTGATTATCTGTAAAAGACAAAAAAACAAAAGAAAAAAATCTGGGTTTCTTTAAAGGAGGGATCTCATCTGTCCGCAGTTGTCAAAGCAGACAAGCCTTTTGTGTAAGTGAGGCTTTCTTTTCCTAAATGAGCATTCCCACTGAATTACAGCCCCTCACCTTCCTCCTGAGTAAGTGTGTTCTCACGTTTCTTACCTGAGAGAAGTGTGACGTGTAAATTCACTTCATACATTATTCTGTTTCATTTTTCAAAATTAAATATATATAAAAATATATATTTTTTGTTAGTCTATACATTGTAGATTTTTTACATAAATGGCAATATTAGTTTGAAGTTTAGAGTGTATTGTAGATGAGCTGTATAAGGGGATATTTGACATTTAAATGAAATTGTTAAAAAAAAAAAAGGAAAAAAAATTAATTCAAAATTGAACTGGGATGGCAGAGGAAAAAGGGTCAACAGATGATAAAATGAAAAAAATGTCGAAAGCGTTTGGTGTATCCTTTTTAATTCCAGTTTTAGTTGCAAGGCGCATCATCAGCTACCCAGATGAATTCTTTCTTTCCATTTGGGCGTATATGGACAGTTTGTGCCGCGGTCCCGTTGAGGCGTTCTTACTTGGGCGGCGAGGCACTGACGAAAAAAAAAACGTGGGAAGGGATTTTTGTCTCGAACAGTAATTATGCAACTGGTTTTTGAATGTAGCTACCATACAAATGTGGATCGCCTTCATTTTCAAAGTTGTGTTCCTGGGTTTTTTGTCAGTACAGTATAATAGTTTTCTTTTCACCTTTTTTCTAATGTCTGCCCTCAACCAAGTGGCTCTCAAGCGTGCAGATCACTGTTAAGGTTTCCTGCACACGTTTTTTTGTTTTGGAGGCAGGCGTCGGTATTTGGGTGTAAGGTAATGGATAATATGGAGAACAAAACAGTGTTATTGTGATGTTATTCCCATGTCATGTCATGTTGTGAATGGTTTCTTTTTACCAACATGTAATCACAAATGGGAGGTAGAGCATTTTGTGTGTTTAATTTCTACAAAAAAAAAAGAAAAAAAGAGATGAAGAAAAAAGACCTATACAAATCAATAGTGTGGCCTTTTCATTCTCAAGACTTAAGATGTCATGATGGGAGAGTGATACCTTATCAGTGCCTGAACTTGTATTTTCATTTAAGACAGTTTTATTTTGTGAACCATATCATTTCATTTATCATGGAGATTAAAGAGGTACTTGTTCATTCCCCCACCCTCCCTTCTCCTAATGCTTTTTTCAATTTTCAGGAAGAAGTTTAAATGGTATAAAAGAGATTTTCTTTCAGTGTATCTAGTTAAATAAATAAATGTTACGTAGATCTTGTTTAGTTTTTATTCCTTTTTTCTAATTATTCAACTGGATTATATTGTCCAAACTGCTGTTTTAGTTAAGGTCATGGTCACGGGTCCAGGTCGTGAGTTTTCTTTCTGTCTGCCCTATATTTGCTAAATCACTTGACATGACGGGGTTCAAGAGATGCTGCTTTTGGCTCTGATTGTCTGCCTTTGATGCACATAAACGTGTTTCAGTATGTATTGCTTCGGTTTCAATGTAGGGAGTGAGTTTTATTTTCCATAGTAGCTGGAACCTCTACTGATTTGGAGCATTTTAAATTTTCTGTATATCAGAGTGCAAGCCCTTTGCTGCAGTGACTTTCAGTATATTTAGTCATTAGTGACAATTTTCACCCCTGACCTTTACTCTTCCAGCTCTTTGGTGGCGTTGACAGTGGCTTTTTGTGAGACGTTCTAATCGCCTCTCTCAAAAAGTTGTATTTGAAGTTTTGTCTATCATTACAAGATCAGTAAGTGTACTGACTATTGCTGATTTGTTCTAAAAGGGGAAAATCTGACTAGATGTCATTGAGTATTTTGTCAGCATCCTGTTAACCTGCAAGCTACAAATTCTGTGGTTGGGGGAACTTTTATTTCTTGACATAGACACAGTTTGAAATCTGCATTAAAAACAAACAAACAAACAAACCCCCTTTGATCACTGCAGGAGCATGTAAAGTTTTCAGCTGATGGGCTTGGACTTGTTTTGGTAAAAGAAAGCAGTGATTCAAACTTGCTTTCAATAATTTTGTCATATCTTTGTTGAACTAAAAAGGGGTGAGACCATTGAGTGTTAAATACATTCGCAGGTACAGAGCTTGACATCTTGGAGTGAGGACGCTGTCGACTCCTCCAGGGTCCTCAGAGTGCCTCACTCAATCTCTCTCTCTTTTATATATATATTATATATATATACATATATAAATATATATAGTTGAGAACTGTCCTGTATATAACAGTAATGTAGCAATAAATGTGCCATTTTTAATAACAGATTATACCTTTTCCAATGTCTGGCTTTTGAATATTGTATACATAAAAAGGAAAATAAAGGAAACCATTGTAATAAAGGGTTTATTGTAGTTCGGAAAATGAATTTGTTCATATTTTCCTTTGCCGATAGCCGCCTAGCCAACTAATGCATTTAATACAGCTTCACGCAACAAAAGCACCATATTAAATCCAAGGTATGACACCAGCTAATGCTATTGATTTCATAAAGTCAACAACAGCTGGATGGTTGCCACAGACTGAGCACACGGTTTGTTTTAAACGGTTCCGTGCTGTAAATACAGACCTTTTAAAATGGTGGCCTGAAACGACCCTGAGCTGCTGCACGCAACCGCGGCCCGCTGGGTTTTTTTTTTTGAACAGGCATAAGGAGAGGCAGCTCGGGGTCCTTTCCTTAGCAGCTCTCAGCGCCTGAACAGTTGATGGTGTACACAGCTTCCAGAGGGAGGTCAGGATGATCGACAAAATAGTCAGTAAGTTCATCGGTACCAAGAGAGCTTCCGCCGTGAAGCTGTGGTAAGTTAAACCAGTGACAGATGGAGTACAGTTGTGGATTTATTGTTTGTCCTTTTTTGTGTAACGTTCAGAATCACGCGAACTACGTCGCCGTGTCCTTCTGTGTGACCCGTCTAGCTTGCTTGCTAGCATTAGCTTAGCCTGTTTGTGCACTGACTTTCTACGGCTGAGCCACTTAGCATAGCCTTACTACCTGAAGCTAGCTAGCAGCTAAGTACGTGAAGGAGGTAAGTGACTAATTTCAACGAAATTGAGGATTTGTGACAGTTGTTCTAGACTATATTTCTAGTTAACCATGTCTAAATTTCCAGATTTAAGCGTCTCCACAAAGTCAAAAGCTGTCATACCTCTGTGCTAACATGTCTTGGAGCATACCACACAACCTTCATACCTGTGCAAAGTGACAATACATAAGTAATCGACCTTTCTATATGTTAAGTCTTTAAATACTTTATTTCAATGGATTACTTTGGCTGTACGGTGTTGGGAAGAAAAAACGTCAATTGTGACATTTTGTTCAATTCAGGTACATATTGCGTTAAGAAGAAAGTGCAGGGGTTATCACCAGAAGACTTAAATCACTCTCCAGCCATTTTCAGACATGAGATATGTGACGTTTCTGCCGTTATCAGTCTGTTAAAGTGACAGCACTGTGCCAGTCAGACACAGGTCACTTTTCTGTTGGTGTTCCTCACTGCTTTAAACAAACAAACCCACCACATTGACAGAAAGATCTTACTATCATTACAATATTTGTAATTCCCACAAGATTGTATATAATCTTATGACAGGAGACCAAACCTAAACTAATAAGCTTAACAAACTGTCCAAATATCTGAAAGTCTCGTCATATGTTTATGTTAGGGCTGAATCATTTTTGGAAAATGTCTAACTGGGTCTTTTCTGACAAGAGTTTGCAGTTGCGATTTGGTTTGCAATGTAAAAAAAATCTAGCTTTACTTCATTACTCACCGTGAAATAGACTTAAAACGTGACGGAGCATTAACAGATAAAACTAAAGTGACCTTAAAAAACTTGATGGTCACTCAAGGACGACGGCATGAATTTGTAAAACTATTGACACAGTTTAATCCCTGGATCAGATGTGTAGCATAGCGTCTATCCCAAATTGCAACCCTTGCGATCTGCTAATTGCAATTTTACAATCACAGTTAACTTTTATTTTCTACTCATCTTAAAGGATGCCCCTTGTTGTGTGATTATGACGCATCTTGAATTAAAAAGCAATAATCATCCAAGTTGCAGTTGATTGTGTGGTTCATTTTCTGTCTCATTTAGGAATCTCATTGTTTTCTTCCATGCAGGACGCCAACTTTGCTTACATGGGGGACAGTGGGAGGCATCGCAGTCATTCACTTCACTGACTGGCGATTAATTCTCGACTATGTGCCGTACATTAGAGGGAAGTTCAAGAAAGATGATTAAAGCCAACACGTAAAAATGTGAGTGAACTGTCACTGTGACCAACAGATGTGCAACTGAACTTTTTTTTCCTCACACTTTGTTTGCCGTGTTCAGCTGGATTGCTCATTAGCTTTAGCTCCGCCCATGTACCTCTGATAAGATGCAGGCACAAGTAGACCACGACAGGTGCGTTTATTAAATGCTGAAATAAACATTCTGAGTCATTGTTACATTTTACTGTCACCTTTCTCACATCTGGCAGTTTGTGGACATGAGTCTGCACAGGCTGCCCCATACTGAGGTCAGAAACGCCTCAAACATCTGGAATGCTTACTAACCGAAGCTCACAGGAGGCTGAAAATAAAGACCACAGAGATCAAGCTGCTCTTTTTAGCTGACAACTATGCATAAATGCAGGCTGTGTGTTTCTGTTTAATCGAGAACTGTACAAACTTTTCAGTTGAATTTGTCAGTTATGACAAAAATCAGAGCTTAAAGAATATCGATTTTTTGACTTTGTACATCACAGTTAGGGGTCGACTGAGCTGATTGTTTCAGGGCCGATTACAGATCAATAAACGGTGTTTGGAACCAATATACATTTGCAGTAAAAAAAAATTAAAATACTGGTGCAAAAATTTACAAAACTTCATTGATATATTTCAGTATGTTTAATAACAAGAAAACTTTTCAGCTGTATTCTTCAGTGCTGATTGGCCGCTACTCGTGACAGGTAACCAATCAGATCGGGGCATGGGCAGGACATTGCTCAAGGCAACAGGGTGTTGACTACAAATAGAGAAAGGAAGCTGCATCAGAGCCAAAGTAGAGCATTTTAAAGCATTTTTTAATTCAAGAATTGTGTACAATAAACAACAATACAGATAATCTGAAAAGTAGGAGTAGAGTAACAGATCTGTTTATTGGCCAGGCTGATTAATCAGTCGGTCCCTATCATTAATGTGGTATCATAATTAGTGTTTTCTTAGTATTTAATGACTACCATTGCCACCTATACCCAAGACTGTATCTGTGATATCCATGTTGTACTTGTATTGATAAATTAATAGTTAACCAGTGCCATCACCGCCACCCTGGAACCCCTCTGTAGATGTATTCAGCCATTCATGTGTCAGGTCAGATGAAGGTTTTATGCAAGAGAGAAACAGGTTTCCTGCCTCAGTGACAGGAACAATGTTCTTTTCACACATTCTGACAAATGTTTCTGTACATTTTGCTAATGAATGGGCCATGTGTCTGCCTACAGGACCAGAGCTTGGAGATGGCTGGATTGCTTATGCGGCGCGAGCTTCAGTGGGATGCCCTGCCTCAACAATCAGTCTCGTTGGGAGTTTGGACTTCAGGATACACGCTATATACATGCTGTTTGTGACCTACTGTTATTCAATGTTAATAAATCTTTAATCTACCCCCAATGTGTCCAGTTATTCTGTAAATCCCCAACTATTGCAATGTTCTGCTAAACCTGCATGATGATGGATTTTCTTTTAATGTATTCTGATGAATGCACATCCAATATGTTTGCCATAAAACTGAAAACAACTGGATGGACTTTGATTGTCTTTGTGCGTGGAGGGGACCTGCAACAGTGTGGCTTTCAGGAGCACATCTTTGCATATCTGTACTAGAAAAGTAGCGTCAATAAACCGCATCGTAAAAGACAATGCATGTGCAGTTCGTCTGATGAAATAATTCGCAATTTCTGTGTTGTAAGATCAGCTGCACAGTGAGAATACGCCGGTTTCGGTCGGACATTATGCTCATATTATCAGCCAGGCTGCGAAATTTGCGTGGATAATGTCTTTCATTTCTAACATCGGAGGGGGAGGGGACTGAAAGAGGAGAGGGGAGAAGGGATTTAACATAGCGAGAGGGAGAAAAAAAACGAGATAGTGTCTTCAAGATGGATAAAAACGAGTAAGTACATCATTTCAAGGATATTTCGAACACCGTTGATTGATTTGAACTGTAGCGCCTGATGCGTAATGTGTCGTTTTCTTAATATATCTGGAAAGTATGTTGATCATCGATTAGGCAAATACATTCTGTGGTTTCGCAGTCTGTAAATAGCAATGCAGTGTTTTCCAGCTAGGATATGTGTGTGCTGTCTTTTTCTTTTTGTTTTTTTTTTTAGCATCACGGTTTAATTCTCCAGATATTTACAGCTAATGCAGAATTACGCATGGAGTGCGTCGACAGCGAGCTATTTCGACATGGATTTCAGGCACACAAAGTGGATGTGAATTTGTCCTCCTGCATCGCTGTTGCACACACACACACACACACACACACAAACCCTACTCATGCATGCATGACAACGCTGTTTTAAAATGGTGTCTTGTTTAATCGCTGAGATCTACTTTGTTCATTGATAAAAAAAAAAAAAAAAAAAGCCGGCTTCCAGGTCTTGAATGACAACGGTGGGGCATTGTGGTGGTGAGACGGCTCTCCAGTTTCATGGAGCTGACATGAAACTTGCACATTTTCGGTCGGCGAGCCTCCACACTTTTATTTTTACAGCATCTGTCAAGTTGAATTATTCAGCAGGCTTGGTGATTGTTGTCACTGCGGCCCTGTGATTGCTGTTTACGGACTATTTAGAGCGTAATTTATGTTTGCCCGAAGATTTACATTACTGTGGTCCGACAGGCGACCGTCAAGCTGGACACACTAGAAAATACCACCGCCGGTAACCTGTTTCAAAATAATCATGTACAGGCCTCATTAGTCAAAATTATGACCTCAGGGAATAGTTATTACAACTGGATTCAAATATTTCACTTCATTCAATCTGAAACTACACTTTCAAATGTCAAAAATGAATTCTGATGCGCAAATAGATTAAAAAATTGGTTTGATTCTTCTATTATCATCCATTTTTAAACACATTTACAGGCCCTCCCATGTGAAAATAATGTTTTTTACCTTGTCAACATGTTAGTATAATGTTTTTTATATATATACTAGAGGACAAAGCAGGCAGTAAACGCCATAACTGAGCGTTTTTACAGACAACAGTCCCAAAAATGCCATTTCAGACCTCCAGGGTTTCATATGTAACAAACATAAGGAACCAATCAACTGGCAGGGTGGGCGTTTCTGCATCACTGTTTTACTTTGGAGTTGGTTCAGACATGATATTGCAGCTTTCCATCATGTAGAATATATTAGTGTTGCAGTGTTTGAGCAGAGCTGGTGTGCTCGAGCTGCAATGCCAATGTTACAATTTTTGGATCAATGAGTACACAAGAGTCAGCTAGGGTCTGTAAATTCTGTCATATCCCCAAGTCTGTAAAAGTCCACCTGCAGCCCAAAGTTTGTGTCCATGTGGTGACTGTGTTGCAGCGGCAATTGAACGGATGCGCAGAATCAGTAGATGCAGCTACAACAAGTCGACTCCCACTAAGTACAAAAGTAGTTTAACAACAACAACTGTGTGTCTGTGGTGTTTGCAGCTGTCTGTGTGCATATCTGCAAGGAAGACAAGAACAAGGGAGTCGGGACTTAAAGGAGGCCACCAGTTACATCTAATACATTTTAGGAAATGAAAGGATAGTTTTCACAGAACCAAACCAATAATGTGTAATTTTGATACATAGAAAAGAATGTTGAGGAGAGAGACTTTAAAATAAAGTATGAATATGAAGATGATTAAATTGGTGCTTGTAATGTACTAAGAGTTATTAGTTAGAAATGTTATTGACTTCACTATTATCCATCCATCCATTATCTATACACCGCTTAATCCTCACTAGGGTCATGGGGGGCTGGAGTCTATCCCAGCTGACTTAGGGTGAAGGCAGGGGACACCCTGGACAGGTCACCAGTCTATCACAGGGCTACACTTAGAGACAGACAACCAAGCACACTCACATTCACACCTACAGACTATTAAGAATCACCAATTAACCTCACCATGCTGTGGGAGGAAGCCAGAGAACCCTCGCTGCACGAGGAGAACATGCAAACTCATGCAAAAAAGCGACTTCACAATTATTAAAATTATTATTACTTAATACAGTAATAATCATATTTATAATGTAATTACATTAAATTGTTGTAATACAACTTCCAGGGAAATTAAGATTTCAATTTTAAGGAACATAATATTAAAACTTTTAAACACAACAATAAAAAACAATAATACATCTCAGAATCAAATGAAGTTTGTTTATAGCACGTTTTAAACAAACTAAGTTGACCAAAAAATCAAACATATTATCAGTAAGGCAACAGCAAGAATCTGCAAAAAGCGAGACAGGATGAAGACTTGTAAAGTCAATTTATAAAACAAACTAAAGTAATTTAGAAGATGAAGAGAGACAAAAGAGAATAGTAATTTGTAAGATCAATTTCTAAAGGACAAAAAAGACATGAAATGTTAAAAATCAAATCAAAAGCAATCAAAAGCCAATGAAAACATGTATGTCTTGAGATTTCTATTACAAATGAGCAACATTTGATTGAGTGAAGGCGGCTATTTCAAAGCTTTGGAGCTGCTACTTTAAAGACATGTGACTGTTAGGTCATTAAAGGCCATTAGTCAGAGGTTTGGAGCTAATAATAATTCATATTTGAAACTCCTCATTAGTCAGTTTTAACTGAAGCAGCCTCTCGGTTAAAGGTGAAACCCAGATCCAAAAAGAGAAGTCCAATTTCTTTTTACTTCCAGTTTTATTCCATTGTTTTGATGTGCAAAAGTCTCTAATTCTATTCTTTTTTACCATCAATTTATTTTGTCATCACTTATAAAACACTTAAATTGTATTTAGATTGTTTGAAAAGTGACATCATGTGGCAGAGGTGCGATTGAGTTCAGTTTATTAAATTAGTCCTGAGTTTGTCATATTCTTTTGCCGTTGAAGTAGCAGCTCCAAAAATTTTAATCAAATGTTCCTCCCCAGTAACGTTTTTAAGAAAAATGTCAAGATTTCACATTGAGTCAACCCTAACTCCCTCAGAAGCCAGTTTGAGCAACATAAAGTTGTTATTTACACATAAGATTAAGTATACTGTCATATTTTGGTGTTGTCCTGACTTTAACTGCAACATGAATTTTACAAACACTCATAGAAATTATTTTCATTTCTTCCTTTAAAGTAGTTTATTAATTGCAAATTACTTTACAATGTAGGGGCCCAAAGGACAAAAGTTATAACTTCACTTCATTGTCAATAATTTTTAAATTTATGCCAAAATAAATGCCAAATCAACAGGGATGCTTAACCTGCATTAGCAGATGTTAAACCAGCTGCCTACAATAAACTAATGTGGCATAACATTGTTATCTTAACGTAAGGTTGCTAGTTAGTCTTTAACACAGATACTAACACTTTTTTAGTGATGTTAACTGTTATGTCACTGTATAAGATGACAGTGTACATACTTTGTCAGAAATTCAGCATTAGAAACACTAGAGCTTTGAAAATCTTTGATGTCCACGGGAGCTTCTTCCCTCAAAAGTAATACTCCTACAATTTCACTCATTACAGAAAAAGTTATTGTTATTTTAAGTTCAAATTAAAGGACAATCCAGCACACGACTCTCATGCTAAGAGTACAGAAAAGTTTGTGTTTTTACATTCTTATGCAAAGAAATTAATTTTGTAATGTCAGAATAATACAGAATTTTATCTCAAAACCACTTCTTTAGATTTTCTCAGAAAGGTAACAGGCCACTATCATCCATCCAAGAAAACACCTTTTACACTTTTACCCTGGTGTACCTTATAGAAAAAGAGAAATTAAATAGATTTTCTTTAAAAAATGGAACAAATTATAAAAGTAGCAACAACAAAAAAAGACTATAAAATGCGATACAGAAAGATAAAATAGCCAACATTCTTAATCTATTTTATTTGTTTAATTTTATTCTCTTTTAACCTTTATTCATTTACCTATTTATTTACTATTGTTAGTACGTTTAGCCTTGTCTTCATGGTTTTACCCTCTCTAACCTTTTTTGTTCTTTTTACTTAATTTAATCCATTTCTGTGCTTTTATTTTTTTATTTTTTGTTGTATTGATTTATTTTGGAAATCTTTAACTTTTCTTTCGATTTGGACAGACTGGCCTTCTGTCGTTGCAAGTTATATATATTTTAAAATAAATAAATAACTAATAATAATAATAATACCAGATGGTTGAGCACTTAAATTTATGCTTTTATTCTGGAGTTTCTTATCGCGGCGGGTCTCGCGTTGCCTTGACGTCGCTGCCCTGTTTTCCTCGCGGATGCGGGCCCCGGCGAGACGGGCGAGGGTGGTGCAGCGGCCCCGAGGTCCGCCGCGGAGCGATCTTGCTGACGACAAAGAGCGGAGATGTTGTTCGCAGGATCCCATTACAGAGGACGCATGTTGTAATATGGTCGAAACAAAAGAGTGAGAAGAGACAGGCCTGCCTTCTGAAACAAAAACAGCGACACGTTTCCTCTTTTTTTTTTTTTTTTTTTTTTTCTAAACAACCCAATCTGGCTTTCCGCACTAACTTTTTAGCGGATTTATAGGCGGCGCGAAATGGAGAAGAAAAGGTGGGATTGCACTGCTCTCCCCAAGGGCTGGAAAATGGAAGAAGTGACCAGAAAGTCGGGTTTGTCAGCTGGAAAGAGCGATGTCTATTATTTTAGGTACTAAAAAACGAACAAGGGGGCTGGTAAAAAAGAGACCAAACTTACTCACACCGAGTTTAGACAGGAGCTGGGGTGGCCGGGATAAAGTTTGGGAAGGGGAAGGGGAGGGGTGGAGGGGTTTGTTTGCGGCGGGGCAACCAGGCCAGCCAGGCCGCCTCCTCTCACAGTTTGTTGGGATAAGTGTGTCCGGGCGGGCGGTGCTAGCAGCAGCAGCAGCAGCTCCTCACACGCCTGGCTCGGCCCTTCTTTTTCATGAATAAAACCCCAGTGTAACCTCAGGTATTATCACTCTTTTACCTTGCATTTGAAGTGAATCAACAACGCCAGATTTGTTTTCATTTAGCAGAGGAGAAGAGCAAGATGAGGAACAGAGGCAAGAGAGGGGGGAGGCGGGTCGGTTGTATAGTTTGTGGTAGGCTAACTGTACAATCATACTGGTGTTAACTGTGGTGTGTGATGTAAGAGACATTTGCATGAGTTGCTAGCACGTATCCACCCACAGTCGTTGCTTTTGTTGCTCATTGCTCAGGCTACAGATGTTGTTGCTCTCCCACAAAGTGGAGCCACAATGTTTTCATTCTGAAGCAGTTTGTTTTTGTTGCCATCGTGTTCACTAATTTGTGCCAGGTTACCGAGCTATGTAACTGTATATATATATCTATGTATTTGTTCTCCTGAATTGCTCAGATAATACTTCTAACAGGGCTCCATGACAGACTTGCATCCATTCAGTGTGATCGTTGCTCATCTGAATGTCTCCTGCTTCTCTTGGCTTCAGACTTGTTGCATGTTTCTGCTTTTCTGTCTGCTGTGTTCAAAGTTTTTTTTTTTTTTGCTTTCTCGCCTTCATCTTCTTGTGTTGTTTTTAAGTCTTGATGTTTTCTGACTTCTTCTTCTTCTTCTTTTGTTGTTGGTGTTGTTGTATTTGTGTGTAACAGATAGTAGTAGTAATAATATAACGCTTTCCCTCATGTCTCCACCTCTACTCTTGCCAGTCCATCTGGGAAGAAGTTTCGGAGCAAGCCTCAGCTGGCCCGTTACCTTGGCAACCAGATGGACCTCAGCTCCTTCGATTTCCGCACGGGGAAGATGCTGATGAGCAAGCTGAACAAGAACCGGCAGCGGCTGCGGTATGATAACAACAACCAGAACAAGGTGAGAGAGACGGGCTCCCGGTGCCTGGATGCTGACTGAACGCTGTGAAGCGAAATCTGTCACACGTCTAAAACTTCTCAGCCTCACCAGGAAACAAGGGGCATAACTATACTATAAAGCCTTATATCACTTTCCACAAAAGCTCAACTCGTCATCACTTGTTTGTAGGGAGAGGAAAGCTTCGGGCTGGTTGCTGTTGATCCAGAACATCTAAGGTTTTATAGAGTTACGCCCCAAAATGTGCTCCTTGTTTCAAGGGGCTTCGTGTTCTGCTTTATTTACTGTCTGCTATTTTATCTAAATGTCAGAATTTTAGAGTGTGAAGTTTGTGCTCTATAAAATCGAACGCACAAAAAAAGCGCACAGTGCAAAGAACAGTCACTTTCTTTTTTTGTTTTCAAAAGCATCATCTCAATATCAGTAACTGCAAAATCAGCACATCAGAGAGGTTTATTACATTAAAGGGGGTGTTTGATGCACTGTTTGACTCCTTTTCCCCACAAATTGGACCGATTGTGTGCCACATTCTTAAGTCAAGGGGAACAGGTTGTTGTAATAGAGAGCTATAAAGGATGTATAAAGAGTTGCTACAGTAAAAAGCTGAATGCTGGTAGAAAACTGTTAATGGTGTAAGTTAGTATATTTATTTCACTGGTCTTTGAGCTCTCAATGTTATTTCTGACATGGCAGCTGCACATTAGAGCTCTTAAACTGTAAACTTCATACATGATGCTCAACAAGTGCATTTTGTTCTAACGCTGTCCCATAATGACGCTTTTGGCCGAATCAAAGTGAAATAAGTGTCACTGATTGGCTATTTTCTGTGACAAATGCCAACAGACTAGTCAGTTTTCAAATCTTTGTTATATTAGATTGAATACCAGAAGTGTAAAATGATCTGACCAAACATAAAAACGTATTTATGCATTTTCTGCATCACAAACACGTCACAGCAACCGCCAGTTTGTCCTACTGTAACCACAAACTCAGCTTTGTTCAGGTTTGCAAACGTAATGTATTCCCTCAGCTGAGAATTTGTATCGCTCATCGAGAATATAGTCAAGGAAAGAACTGTTGAAAGTGTGGCTCTTCTTACAGCTGATTTAAACTGTGAACAGAAGCTCCTCCAGAGCAGGTTGGCTGTGCAGCATTAGTTACCATGGTGATCTAGCAGGTTGTGAAATGGAAAAGTCTGGATATAAGCTCTTTGCTAACCCATCATTCTTGCTTCATAGTTGAGTAATTTCTTTCTCTTTTTAAACGTGATTTTGTACACTGACTATTCATCTACCCCTGAGCCTTGATACAGGGTTGTTCCTCTCGTGTGGTTATAATCAGCAGCTTCGTAAAGTAACACTTCATGTTCTGTCTCTTGTCTTGTCCTTAAGGGTAAACCTGACTTGAACACGTCGCTCCCAGTCAGACAGACGGCCTCCATCTTTAAGCAGCCTGTTACTAAGGTTACCAACCATCCCAACAACAAAGTGAAGACAGATCCTCAGAAAGCCGTCGACCAGCCCAGACAGGTAAACGGCCTCTACCTGTTACTGCGGGCGTCATACTAACCGTACAAACCAGAAAGTTTTATATAACAAGCGCTGCGCTGCCTGGAAGGAAACGTGCAGCTCTGGAACTGGACAAACCAGAACTGAGTTCAGATTTATTGGTGGTTTTTGCTGCACGGGAAGCACCAGTACATTTGTGTTCAGTTAAAGGGTTAAGTTCCTTTGTGTGAAAACCGCCTACAGCTAAAATGTTTCTGTTTTTTTTTTTTGTCTCCAGCTATTTTGGGAGAAGAAACTCAGTGGTCTAAATGCTTATGACATTGCAGAGGAGCTTGTGAAAACAATGGAACTGCCTAAAGGCCTGCAAGGTAAAATAGTTAAAAGAGAAAGCGGTTTGTATTCTGTTGTGACATTTTGGAATTTCTTAGAGCAACAGGTTCATTGTTTTTGTATGATGTAAGTAATCTTGAGCGCTTCTACAACGTTTCTTGTTGCTGGTCTTTCAGGTGTCGGTCCGGGCTGCACAGATAAAACTCTCTTGTCGGCCATCGCGAGCGCTCTGCACACCAGCGCTGCTCCGATCACCGGGCAGCTGTCTGCTGCCGTGGAGAAGAACCCGGGAGTCTGGCTAAACACTGCACAGCCGCTGTGCAAGGCCTTCATCGTCACTGATGAGGACATCAGGTTCGTCTTTACTGAAAACTGTCTCATATTGACCAGTGTTGCTTCTTGATAAATTGCCACAAACCTATGACAAGCGGTTTTAGCAATTTTATAGCTGAGTTTGATTATCAGGAATTGACATTACAGATATCAACAACGTCATTCTGACTAGTTCGAATATATAAAAAATAATATCTATAACACTATTTTGACTTGTTTACTAGATATCTGTGCCCCAGTTGTTACTAGTCAGTGTCGTGGTTGCACATATCTCTACTGTCATGATGACTAGTCTGAGTTGTTGTGCATGATGCTGCCTATACACTTATTGGTCCAGCAGAGCATTTGAACAGTGTCAGTAGAAGTAGTGAAGTAATGGAGGCTGCTGTGGTGGCTTTAAAATATGGAACTGTGGAAGCATTATTCAGTTTTGTTCATTAGATACTTAGATACTCTCAGGCTGCTCTGACATGGTTATAACATGCATATAACATAATGTGACATATAACACATGTCGTATGTTTGAAAAACAAGCCACCTCCTCCTTGCCGTAGCTTCTGAGGCGTTTATACATATCTGCCCCACCATTACGCTTCGTCAAACCTGTAATTACACTTTAACTGGTCATAATTGCAGTTCGTAATATCTCCAAATGTCATCCCGACTAGTTCCAGCCTAATTTAAGATATCTAAAAATGACATCTTAGATATGTTTATATGAGGAGCATTAAAGACATCTTGAACTAGACTCATGACAGAATTAAACCATATCTGAAACGAGAATTACAACTAATCATGATTCAGCTGCAGATTTCTGTGATTCACACTCCGGATATCTGCAGCTGAACTGAACATGACTGTAATGAGAAACCCCAGACATGGGAACAGTAGAAATGATGTCCCGGTGAAATTAGGGATATCAGAAATGTTCTTTTTGACGAGAAAGGACTAAATTACAGACTTCAGCATTATATATTCAGTCTAGCTATGCAGTGTTGAAACATCTTGCCATCGTGCCAGCATCTAAGAGCTTGTTTGCCTGTGAAACAGTTGTGTTAAAAATCTTGCTGAGATCTCCTTCAGTGTGTTTAAAAACAGGATATAACAGCTCAGATGGGGGTAAAAATGCCACACTGGTTTTTCCCAGTTCTTGAGATGTTAACTTCCCTTGTATACGCCAAAACACAATATCATTTGTAAAATAGTTGGAGAAAACGGACAAATCAGATACCGCCGTGCCTCTTTTGTCATGTTTGCTGTGTCCATTGTAAACAGAACTGATTGTTAGAATTGCCACAGTCCACAACAAGTGACCACTGATCTGCGTAAGAACACACCATCTGTTCGGTGCTGATTCAGTGGCTGTTATAAGCAGCTGTAACTGCCAACTGTAACAGCTTCCTGTTGTGTTTATGTGTAGGAAACAGGAGGAGCTGGTGTACAGTGTGAGGAAAAGGCTGGAGGAGGCGCTCATGGCTGATATGTTGGCCCATGTCGAGGAGGCTGCCAGCGAAGGAGAGGCTCTGAAGGAGGAGGGCAACGGCAGTGAAGACATGGAGAGCGTATAGCACAGGTTGGTGGAGACTCGGAAAGACAAATGAGGCCTGCGAGGGCATTGAAATGCTGCAGAGAAGATGTATGAGCACGAAATTCTGTCCAGCAGGAGCTAAGAGACTCATTCCATCTCAAATCAGCAAATCTTTAGAAAGACTTTGTGCTCGGCAGGGATTTTTATAGCATGAGGTATGGATGTTTTAAAGATATTTGTGAAACTTTGTCTTGTTATAGCAAATATTTTCAACTAATTCTTTTCAAAATCGACCTACTATTTGCACTTTTTTCCCCACACATTGACATTTGAGGCTGTTTGAACGACAATAACTCAAGAACTATCAAAGATAAAACCATGATTTTCCATTTATTTCTCATCATGCCATTGATATAGAATCTACAATGTTGGACAAATAGCTCAAATATTCTCCGATTATGAGTGAGTTGAAATATGAAACAAATTTGACAAACTTTGAGCACACGTGAGCAAAAATATTAATAATACAGACGTCAACTAGTAATATTTTCTAAACCACATGTACTTGGCTGTCACAACAATACAACATATAGAATACTTTTGTACACAAAATACTTGGTAACAAAAATAAAAATGAAATATTTGATACGTCAGTCTAAAAATTCACAGGTAACATTTTAAATATCCATAATTTCTGATGGAAAAGTTTCAGAGATGGTTGAACAGAAGGCCCCGGATGATCTGAGATGGTATAACTCAAGAAACTTGAAATCAGCTGTTCTTCAGAAGCTTCTTACTATTTTGAGTTTGTTAAATCTTTTTGTATTTATCATAGTAATGTGCAAATGATGGGATTTTAAAGAACTACACAATATATTTAAGGTAATCTTTTTTTCTCTTTTAGGTTTCTGCAAAGGGTTCAACACCTGCCCAGTAGGAACCCTGTCCAGTCCAGCCCCGAAGAACTGTCCCCCAGTATCGACGTCCGACCCAAACCCAAATCCGATTAGCCTCCAGTCCGACATAAAGAGCCGTTTTCTCTTCACCCCACAACAACCGCCTGAAGTCTCCCAACACCTCCATTCTTCATTAACGCCGCTGAATGGGACTCCTTGACCGAATTTCTGAGCCCAGATGATTTTTGATGACGGAAAAAACAAAAAATATTTAAAACAAATGAACTCTCAAACATTCACGATAACTTATCTACAGTGTGTCAAAATCAGTGTTCAGTGATCATTGTGATTTTTTTACGAAAAAAAAACAAAAAGGCTTTGAATGGGTTTGTATTTTTTGCGACAATCATGTCAAATCCAAAAGTTTCACGTCCGCAAAAAAAGTCGATTTTTGCTTTGTTTCGGGGGGGGCAGATTGGGAATGAATGTTTTCTATTTTTAGCATCTCTTGACTTTTTACGATGCACTCCAGGAGTAATCTGTCACAGCACACGCAGTGAAGCGGTACACCAAGAGTAGAGCTAATTTGAACCTGCAGGTGGCTGATTTTACTTACGGCAGGTAGAGTAGTTTGTAAATCTATTGGAGTGGATAGTTTTTATTGTTTTAATTTTTAAGGAAATATTATCTTTCATGTCAGCTGTGTGTTGTCCTATGAGTGGTGTTCAGTATTGACCAAAGAGGGGACGCGTCATTTCAGAAGGCTTTAAGGTTTTTTTTTTTTATTGGCCCTGCTGTTGTACAACTAAATGTAAGAAAAACGAATGCACGATGGGGCGCAGTGGGAGAGAAATGACCTGAAACCTCTTTTCGGTTGTGCAGTTATTACTGTTTCTAACTCTCATCATCGTTACAGGTGCTTACTGACGTTGTGACACATTGCTATTCAAGGCTTTGTTGCAGCTTCAGTCCATTTTTATTATTTTTTTAAATGTGTCAATGTTACCACACACACGCTGCCTCCTTCTTCTAAATCCACGCACAGAATTGGCGACACAGCGAATTACAGTTAGTTCTGATGTGTTTTTCATTGATTTATCTTCTGAGGAATAATGGTTTTGTATTTTTTAATCCCTGTTTGATGAAAAAAATAAATAATGCATCAGGCTGAAATCATGAAACTCCCTTCACAATATCAGCAGGCTGATTGCTGAAATAAATCTGATTGTATTAAAATGTGTCAGTATATCACTAAATCTGCTCACGGTGTTTTCTTAACGGCAACTGACAACTTGTGTCGCGTTTGAATGTCGGTAACGTCCACAGAGCTGGTTTAAACTCTGCTCGTTGAATCGCTGCATCCTCCTGCAGATTAACAGTTAACCTGACAGTCCTCATGTCTTTATGCGAGTCTGGACAAAGTGCAAAAAAATCCTGTCACCTGGACAGAAAGCAGCTGTGCAGAGAAACCGAGGATACCGGCTGTTCTGTGCCGCAGATGCTGCCTTGTTCTGAGGGTTCTAAGTGATGCCAACTCACATGCTTTAAAGTGTTAAAGATGGCAACTCTGGAGTTATACAGCAAGGTAAGACTGATTTTAGACAGATTTGGGATTTTTTGAATGTTCATCCCACCTGAAGCCGTGTCTTTAAATTGAAGAAGAGTCTTTTAGTGTATAAAAACATATCTAGGAATGCTTGAAAGTGAATGTGTTTGTCCTCTAAGGCGCTCTCGGGTAGGAAAATCTATACAAAATTGGCTTAAATTCTCAAATTGGTGCTGCTCCCACCTCTTCGTGTGTTGGATTTGCTCTGCCGAAACTTTTCATTCTTATTTCTTAAACCTTTTTGTCCATGTGTTGGACTGACCTGTCAATGAAAGTACCTGCAGAGTCTGTGAGGATTGTGTAAAGTCTAAATATTAATTAGTGAATTAGATTTGGTGGTGGTAAATAATGGCTAATCCACGCAGACACTTTAAAGAGAGGATGACCGGTGTTAATTTTTAACACAGTTTAGGAGCCTTTTATGCTGATGGGTGACAAATATCTCGACTGGGTGGGACCAGGAAGTGTGACAGCAGCCTGAACTGTGACAGAACATAAAAAAAAATGTCATAAAATCTCTTTTCGCCTTGATTTCCAGATTGTGCTCGTCTTGCAGTATGAATGTTCCTCCTTCTCATTCAGTTCTACACTTGCACACCTGAAACTGTTTGTTCCTTTGGTAGGGGGCCAGTGTTTGGGTTCCTGATCCAGATGAAGTTTGGGTTTCAGCCCAGCTCCTCCATGACTACCGGCCCGGAGAGAAACAGCTCCTGCTGCAGCTCTCTAATGGAAATGTGAGACATGGAGCACCGTTATATTGGTTATAGATTTTTTTAAAAACACAGAGAAAGCCCTCTAACTTCCATTTGCGTTGATAGGAGGTGCATTACCCGGTGGGCTCCCCCTCTGATCTCCCACCGTTGGGGAACCCAGACATCCTGGAGGGCGAGAACGACCTGACAGCTCTCAGCTTTCTCCACGAACCCGCTGTGCTGCACAACCTCCGGGTCCGATTTCTGGACTACAACAACATCTACACGTACTGTGGTGAGCACAGACAGGATACACAACAGAGGGAGACATGAAGAACAGTAAAAAGACAGGGACAGTGGGAGTGGAAGAAGATCCTTGAGGTTTCTGATGGCAAAAAGCCAGAAGCAGGCAGCTCCTGTGTGCTTCTGTGTGCACAATCATGACTCGTAAAGTTATGTATTGTGCAGTAGTTGTAAAGTTTGAGGCGACTCCCTCACTGCCACACTACCACACATTCAGGCAAAGCAGTTTCTGAAATTATAAATGCTTGGTTTTTGATTTTCTTTAAGCCTTTATTTTGAAAACTGAGTCTATATTTTAAAATTATTAATAGACATCACAAGTGAATGGTGGAACATTTTAAACTAAGAAATGTTACCATTAAACTTCCCTCAGTGATGGCTTACATAAGGATGGTTTTTGTATTATAAGGTTTCAGAATTTTAATGTTTAAATCCAAAACTCTTGTTCTATTTTGTTGACATATTACATCAAAGGTTTTTACTGAAGGGATCCTTGATATCAGTTTCAATCTCACTATGAGTCAGAAAATATTGTCAACAGCCAAAAAAAAAAAACCCTCAACTTTTGCCATGTTTTTACAAATAAAATGTTCTATAAACCAGGTTGTGAGTAACATCTGAATAAACTACTCTATAAAACATATACAAAGCTCAGTATGGATATAACATAACATTAGTTAAAAAAAATAAACGTCACCACAAAACCTCCATAGTTAACTAACCTACATTAAGGGAATCAGTTGTTGCATTAGAAGTTTTCTGAAATAGTATGTTTAAATATGCAAATATGGAATTACATATGTGCTAATTTGCATTATCAGCATAATAATAAACAGTTTTCTTTCCACTAGTGTGAAACTAGATCTGTTATGGAAGCAAAACAGCCCATTGACCAGTGCATGTAACTTCTTTTTTTGTTGTTAGTGTCTCACCCAGTGAAAGACACTAGAAAGGTTTTCTTATTATTATTTGCAGAAGCTTGTGCTGATTTTGGCTAAATGTGGAGTAAATCGAATTTAAGACAGTTTTGTACTCAGAGCTGCAGGAAAATAATGCTTATGAAAACTACTACTTGTGCTTTTCCTGTGTTTTTACACACACACACACACACACACACACACACACACACACACACACACACAACATTTTTAAATGTATGTTCTTCACAGATATACAAAAATCTGTAGCTGAAGTCATTTAAAAAAAATACTGACTTGTGCGATTGGTGTTTGCAAATCAAAGTCCTGTCTACATCCAGACTCTCATGGTGAGATGACTTTCTTTATCCATCCCCGCAGGTATTGTATTAGTGGCCATCAACCCCTATGACCAGCTGCCCATATATGGAGAGGAGGTGATCGATGCTTACAGCGGTCAGGACATGACCGACATGGAGCCTCACATCTTCTCTGTGGCTGAGGAAGCTTATCGCACCATGACCAGGTCAGAGCTCAAACAGCAGAGGTCACATTATCACAAACTGGACGCTGCAAAAATTTAATTCAATCTTTATCCAACTGTGTACCTAAAACCAGCAACAACACTAATAGTCTCACTGCATATAGGGAGGAGAAGAACCAGTCAATCATCATCAGTGGAGAGTCTGGATCTGGAAAAACCGTCTCAGCCAAATTCACGATGAGATACTTTGCTGTGGTGGGAGGAGCAGCGCAGCAGACCAGCGTGGAGGAGAGAGTTCTGGCTTCTAATCCCATCATGGAGGTACTGGTTTCCCTCTCAGGTGTGTGTTTTCTTTTAAAGGTTCTAAACAGAAAGTAATTCTGTGTTTTCTTGTCTGCAGTCCATTGGGAACGCTAAAACCACTCGAAATGACAACAGCAGCCGTTTTGGGAAGTACATCGAGATCGGCTTTGGCACAAACGGAGACATCATCGGGGCCAACATGAGGACGTACCTGCTGGAGAAGTCCAGGGTGGTCTTCCAGGTAAACTCGGGCTACATGTGGATTTTTCTTTTTTGCACATTAGTACCTAAATTTGAAATATTACAGTTAAACGTACTGCAAAGTGTTCATGAATGTTGCCTCCTTATTTGTGTGTTTTAAGGCATCTGCAGAGAGAAACTATCACATCTTCTATCAGCTTTGTGCCTCCAGAGAGCTGCCAGAAATGAGGTCCCTCAAACTAGGTGAGTTACAGGCGACTCTCTCAGCTTTTCCTCCAAAGACCACCATGTCTGTGCTTTATATTCTAATGTGATGTCGTTTCCAGATGCACCTGAGCGTTTCCGCTACACTAACCAGGGCGGGGAGATGCAGATACCTGGTACTGATGATGTGGCAGACCTGGAGCGCACCAGAAATGCTTTCATAGTTCTGGGTAAAGTGTTTGCATTTACAAATTCACACATTCAATATAAATGTGAAGGTTTAATAATTCTTTCTTTGTGTTTGCTGAACTTGCAGGTGTGCAGCCGGATCAACAGATGGAGCTCTTCAGGATCCTGTCAGCTGTTCTGCACCTGGGAAATGTTGACATCCAAGCCAGTGGGAGAAGTTCAGACCGGAGTTATATTGACGTAATATATGTTCTTCTTTAGTTTCTCTCAACTTGAATCCCTTTACGAGTGCATGATAGTCTTTTCCTTCTTGCTCAGGCTGACGACCGCTCCCTGGCTGTCTTCTCCAAGCTCTTGGGAGTCGAGGGATCTCAGATGGCTCACTGGCTGTGCCATCGCAGACTGGCTGTAGGAGGAGAGATGCTGGTGAAACCGATGACCGGTCAGCAGGCTGTAGAAGCCAGAGACGCGCTCGCTAAACACATTTACGGTCAGCTGTTTACTTGGACTGTGCAGAGGCTGAACTCAGCCCTGAGCACCCAGAGGAGACGAGCCAAATCCTTCATAGGGGTGCTGGACATCTACGGGTGAGTGAATGAGCGGTCTGCGGTGTGCGGTGGAAGATCTTTAGTGTGTCTTTACAGCAGATTTACAAGTTTCTCTCTGTTGGAGCAGGTTCGAGACCTTTGAGCGGAACAGTTTTGAGCAGTTCTGTATAAATTACGCCAATGAGAAGCTACAGCAGCAGTTCAACAGGGTGAGTCACGTGACAAACAGAGATTTCTGTGTTTCCCTCTGTGTTGAACTCATTTGACCTGCATGTGCTGCACTATTTATCCGTCTAGAAGGCGTTTTTAAAGGAACCAACCCAATAATCGCTGCAGTATTTTGTCACTTTCTGTTGTTTGATCCAATAATGAGAACGTTAATACCAACAATAATACAAATCAAGTGGTTACATGCATTATTTGTGCAGGTTATTACTCATTTATTCAATGCATAAAATTGGAGAAATGGGTTAAAATGTACTAATTACACTGCAAATAGTCTTTTGCATTCAATTACCTTTTAATATTTAGGTTATTGTGTAACTTCTTGGTCCCAAGCAGCATCTTAAAACAAATATGAAGCCGATAAGAGAACATATTTATCTAAAGCTCATCTGCAAATGTTTCAGGATTTGGGCTCCTAAGATAATCAGTGATGTGGTGGTTTCTCTCAGAACACAAGCAATTGTCGGACGGCCTAACTTAGATGTGGTCTTGTGTGATCTGTTTGTTGTCAGTCTATGATATTTTATTGTATTGTAGCATCCCTAATATTCAAAATGAAGTAAACACGATTTTCAACCTGTCGACTGAAAAAACAACTGCTATGATCAAGTTAGAAGGACAGACTGGATGCCTGCATGCCGCCCTCGCTACAAAAAGACACAAGATACAAAGAAGAAACGCCCTTTGAGTCACTTTCATCAGTTACATCTTGTCATATTCAACTGAAATAATAATCAAACACAAACATCTCACAACACAAACGGCAGTTAAATGACCGGAAACCAAATTCAAAGTCAGAGTCCTGATAAGAAAAATCAAATGCTCCTTAATTAAATACATAAGATTCAGCCATTAGATAATCACCAACCTTCCAGCTTAAGAAATAATATGTGTGATTGTGTTCAGGGGAGGTGAAGTAAAATCTGCCTCAGAAAACATGCAGTTTATTTAAGTTCAGTTCATTTGTGAGGGACTTTAATAACCAGGGATGGTAGAAGAGGAGGTTTAGTGCACAGAAAAGAAGACTTATCTTAACTTTTGTTTGTTCAAAAAAGACATAAATCCACTGCAGTCCAAGCAGGTAAAAAAGAGGAACTTGCAGCAGCGTTATCTCACCCTTATCCTGAGATCTGCTCATTTTCAAAAGCTAATGTTTCTCATGAAATTCAGTCATTCAAGACGGCTCTTCGAACAACTGCTGCTTTATTTGCTTTGATATGTCGCAGTTTTTGGAGCAAAGATGTTCAGAAACTGGATTAAACTTCTCTTTTTTCCCCCCGCTTCTCTCGCTCCTCCATCTGTTCTCCTTCATGCTGTCTTTCTAAGTTTTTTTATTATTTTTTTTCCAGCTCACAGCCTGATTTATACTTTTCTCCCTTCCTTTTATGGCCAGAATAAAAAAGGGCTATTCTGTACATTTTTTCCCCCTGCAGTGTCATAAATTGTCAACAATTTGTGCATTATTTGTGTTTTATGCTGTTTTCTTTGTTGAGTTTAATGTTGATTTTTAAATGTTTTAAAGGCCAATCTATGTGTTTTCATCATTGCAAACTAGCCTGTGGCATTGGTTCATGCTACAAACCGGTTTCTGCACAAAGACTCAACAAATAATTACTGCTTGTAAAGTATAGAGTGTCTCTCCTAGACTGTGATTTAACTTAAGAGATAAAAGGTTTCCAAAATTGTATTCTTAAAGCTACTATAAGCAAAAGTAGGAGTTGCTCTGTTTTGACTTCTTTATCAGGTCATCTGACTTCTTTTCTTTTTGCAGTCGCTGCCAGTTGCTTTAATTTTGTCCTAATTAGCAAGTTTTATATGTTGGTTTTGTGTTTTTTTTTCTGCAGCACGTGTTCCACTTGGAGCAGGAGGAGTACGTCCGGGAGGAGCTGGCCTGGAACAGGATCGAGTTCAGTGATAATCAGCAGTGCATCAGTCTCATAGAGGGACAGCTGGGCATGTTCGACCTGTTAGACGAGGAGTGCAGGGTCAGGCGTCCTGTCTGCTGTTTTATCTCTTTTTTGCTTGTGAATGTGAAGATGTTTTGCTCTCTGTGTTCCCCTCTGTCTCTGTGATAACTGTTTCTCTGTGAACGATCCAGATGCCCAAGGGCTCAGATGAAAACTGGGTTCGCAAACTCTACGACCAACACTTGACCAGCAAACCCCATCCTCACTTCAGGAAACCTCGCTTGTCCAACAGCGCCTTCATCGTCCTGCACTTTGCTGACACTGTGAGTGACACGGTTGTGCATCTAGTTCTAAAGCAGTTTTGTAAATCTCCCTCAGTTTGTCTACACTGATATTATTTTGTTCATTTCATCAGGTGCAATATGAATGTGAAGGCTTTTTAGACAAGAACAGAGACACGGTCTTTGAGGAGCTGATTAACATTCTCAAAGCGAGTCAGGTAGATATGAATGTTAGAGTCTCACACATTCATGTTTGATTTCTAAGTGACTAATTTTGGTATCACAAACTTGTGTGTGCGTCAGTCTGAGCTGGTGGCTGAGTTGTTCCAGCAGCAGGGAAATGTGCCGTCTGTGGCCAATGGAAGCGTTCGTTCAGGGAAAAGAGCCACCAGGGAGCATAAGCTGACTGTGGGCTTCCAGGTGAGGTGTTTATTCTGTCTTCAGCTGTATTTATTCATTTGAATTTTTCAGCTTCCATGCATTTCTAACACTGAGTTTTGTGTTCACTGGTGCCTTTCAGTTCCGTCAGTCCTTACAGATGCTAATGGACACTTTAAACAGCACGACTCCTCACTATGTTCGCTGCATCAAACCCAACGACCTCAAAGAAGCTTTCCTGTGAGTCTTGATTTGGCTTAACTTCACAGTTTTGTGTCGTTTTACTGCTGTTGTGGAAAAAAACACTCCTGTTACGTCAGAAGAAAGGAAGAGTTTATACAGCATCTCTCATAAAGGAATAAAAACTGACAGCTACGTTTATAGTATGACAGCGATCATAAAGCTGGCACATTCTGAACCGTTCAACAAGTTTAACCTTATGTAATTGTTCTAGACCAAATCAGAAACTTGACTTTTTTTTTTATGGATAAAGACGCTTCATCAGACCAAAACCTCATTTCTTATATTTTTGATTTGACTTATTTAACAAAAAAGAAAAAGAAAAACATTCTCAAGTTGAATGTATTTTACATTATAATATTGCATAGTTAAGATCTTATCGATTTATCTGTTTGAATTTGTTTTCACTACTTGTCTAATTTGACATTTATGGTTGTAACACTTTTGTAACTTTGTTTTCAAAAGAGCTATACAAATTAACTATATTCACAATTATTCTTATTGCATATGACACATTACTGAAAGCAACATGGTTGACTTCAACCTGAAAATACATAAAACATTTTGTTTCCCTGAAAATATTTAAAGATATCAGTTACTGACCACGAATAGATGATTAATATATAAATAAATGATAACAAATTGGCTTACAACTAAGCCCTTTGTTTCAGTAGTTTCTTTTACTATATATATTAATAATGCATCATTGTAGTCTACTGAGAATTGATTTCATTAAAATCATTTGACCCCTGCTTGTTGTGGTCTCCTAATTACACTAACAAGGTAACAGTAAAACCAGTGGTGGAAGAAGTATTCAGATCCTTAAATTAAATGAAATACAAATAGATTTTATACTTTATAAACAGTGTTACATACAGAGACAATGGATATATCTAAGATCTATGGTTATTAGGAAAGGAAAGAAGAAAAAGCAAAGTTCTGATACACAAGTCTGTTTGTTTTCTTTGTCAGGTTTGACCCTAAGAGGACGGTCCAGCAGCTGAGAGCCTGTGGGGTGTTGGAGACGATTCGTATCAGCGCAGCAGGTTATCCAACAAGGTACGGAGCACCTCTTAGACATATATTATATATTGTGAGAACTATGTGAAGTCTTGAAAGTCATAAAAACGAGGATGTTACAAAATCTCAGACGACCAAGTCCCTCATGGGTAACACGCTATTGTGACATTATGAAAATCTGACTGACTAAAACCAAATCCAAGACAAATATCAAACTGTTTCCTCCAACATCTCTGTATCCACTGAATCTGTGTATGCAGATGGACGTACGAGGAGTTCTTCAGCAGGTATCGTGTTCTGCTTCGGGGGCCTCAGGACCAGGATCAGGCCCAGGCCTCCTGCAGACAGGAACTACCTCAGCTCATCCCAGATCCAGACCAGTACTGCTTTGGAAAGACCAAAGTATTTTTCCGGGCCGGCCAGGTGGCTCTCCTGGAGAGGCTGAGAGCTGAGAGGCTGCGTATCGCCGCTGTGATCATCCAGAGTCGGGTCAGAGGATGGCTGGCTCGGATCGGATACACCAGGATCCTCTGGGCAACTGTCACCATACAGAGATACAGCAGAGGAACTCTGGCCAGACGGTGAGGATGTAAAGTGATAGTTGTCTGTGTCTGTTTATGTATTTCCTCTAAATTACATGGGGTCAGCTGATGTCCTCCCACATTGATGCTAATGTTTGATGACTGCATATGACTCTCTATTTTAAGAGGATGGGCCTTTGACTGATGTAGAAGTTAATTAAATAGTCTCTGCTTTAATATATTTTTTATAAACATAAGTCATTTAATCAGTGTACAGTGAGTAGTCGGTATACAGTGGCTGTTCTTAAAAACTCAGTAACCATACAAGAAAGACACTCCTGAGGGAGGCCACAAGACAGCTATGACTCCTCTGAAGGACTTATAACTTAGCAACTGTACATCCAGCAACTGTTGCCTGTTCCTCACCAGTCATAGCTTTATAGACCAGCAAAGAGGAAACCACTGCTGAACCATATTAAATCTAGGCTACACTTCCCCAGAAGGCATGTGAAAGACTCTGAAGTCAATTGGAAGCAAGTTTTTTGTTCTTCTGAGACCAAAATTCTGCTTTTTGGGCATCAGACTAGACAGTACCTTTGGCAGACACCAAACACTGCACATATTCCCAATAACACCATCCCTACTGTGAAGCATGGTGGTGGCAGCATCATAAAGTAGGGGATGCTTTATGAGTCTGCCAGGTTTGTAGAAGGATAAAATTAATGCCAAAAAGTATACAGAAATCCTGGAGGACAACCTGATGCAGTCTGCAAGAGAACTGCCACTGAGGGGAACATTTGTTTTAGGCAAGACAATGAGCCGAAGCATCAGCCAAAGCTACACAGAAATGCTTTAAAGACAACAAGGTGAATGTTCTGGAATCAGAGCCCAGTCCTTGATCCAACTGAGAATTTCTGGCTGGACTTGAAAAGGGCAGTTCAATGCATGATCCCAGTGCAACCTGGCAGAGTTTGAACAGATTTGAAATGAAAAATTGGTGCAAAATTGCAGTTTCCACATGTGCAAGGTTGATTGAAACCAATCCGCTGCTGTAATTGGAGCTGAGGGCACATCTAGTAAATACTGACTTGAAGAGGGCAAATACTTAAGCAATCACTTACCTTATGTTATATATTTTTAATTAATTGACATTACTGTGGGAAAATCTGTTTTCACTTTGACACGAATGAGACTTTAAATGCAAATTCTTCTCAAGAAAGCCAAATTAAATTGACCATGATTCCGCGTTAAGAAGCAATCAAAGGGAAAAACAAGAGGTGTGATTAAACTCAGATGATGCTACGAATGAGTTTAACACTTTAAAATAACCCGTTGAAACCAGAAAAATACCGCCAGCTCTGTGTTTTTCTGTGTTTTTGGTGTGTATGTGATCAGTCTGTAACACAACATGACTGTTCATCTTTGTCATGTTTCTGCAGACTGGCTCTGGCTCTGCGCTACACCAAGGCTGCCCTAGTGATCCAGAAGACCTACCGCATGGTGGTGGTCAGACAGCTGTTCCTCATGATCCGACAGGCCACCATCACCATCCAGGCCTTCACCAGGGGCACGCTGGCTCGCTGCAGATACAGAGTGGTCAGCATTCAATATCCACCTTACCCATCTCTTTATCTGCTTGAGTAGAGCTTTAAAAAGTGACACCCAGACATGGCATCACTTGGTTTTTATAAAATGTGTCATCATTCACTTTGTACTTGATCTATTAAAATTGCTCTAACCTAACAAGCAGCTAACTGCACACGCTTGGTTTACAAGTTAAATACAAATAACCTGAATCATTTTTTAAAGCCTTATTCTCTTTCCTCAGTTGGTGGCAGAGAGGGCTGCAGTGCTGCTCCAGGCGAGAGTGCGTGGGTGGCTGGCGAGGCGGTCGTACAGGCGAATACGAGCGGCGGTGGTGTTCATGCAGTGCTGTGTTCGGCGCAGGGCGGCCAGGAGAGAGCTGCTGAAGCTAAAGACCGAGGCTCGCTCAGTGGAGAGGTTCAGAGAGCTCAACAAGGGCATGGAAGTCAAACTGATGCAGCTGCAGTTGAGGGCAGACCAGGAGGTGGGTGAGGGTTGCAGAGTGGATCTGAATCTGTGACTTGAAGTAAAGATGCACTAAAATTAGTGGGTCAAGAGGTTGTTTTGTTTTATATCTACATGACAAAGTTGTTTGCATCCAGGCCAGGGAGGGCGCTGCTTTGAGAGAGACCCTAAACGCAGAGCGAGAGGCGACCAGTGCTGAACTGGAGGCTCTGAGGGCGACGATACAGAAACTAGAGAGCCAGAAACTGGAGAAACCTCCTCCTGTTCCAGTTATCAGCGAGAAGGAGGTGGAGGACAGGAGGAGAGCTGAGGAGAAAGCTGCCCAGGAGATCCTTCAACTCAAACAAGTTGGTCTGCCAAACCAAGGAACACGTGACACATGCTCCTCTGTTTGTCTTGTATTGAATAAGTCTGATTTGAAAGATGCCAGCTTCTTATTCTCACACTCTCTTGTTTTTTAAGGAGCTGCAAACACTGCAGACAGAAAAGGACAGTTTTTGCAAAGAGAAAGAGGATCTCTCTGCTCGCTTGCTTGAACAAGAAAAAGCGCAAGAAGGTTGGTTTGTTCACCAGCATTGCACCGTCTGAGTTATTCTTTCTTCACACCTTCTTCCCTTCTCCTCCATGTATGTGCAGAGCATGTGCATCAGGCGGTGTCTCAGGCGAGTGCAGCTCTTCGTGCAGAGCTGGATGAGGAGAGGAGGAAGTATCAGGGTCTCTTGAGGGAGTTCACCAGACTGGAGCAGCGATACGACAACCTCAGGGAGATGAGTCTGCTCACCGAGGTTCACAGCTGCAGTTACAGACACAATTCAGACTTCAGTAGTGTTTTGGTCTAAAACTCCCGTCTTCTTTTCACAATGCAGCGCACCAAGGGCCACAGAAGGAACGACTCCAGCCAGAGTCTGAGCCTGGAGGCTCTCTGCCCCTCCCCGACTCCCCTGTCACCCCAGTCCCTCACCCCACTCTCCCTGTCGCCCTTCCCGTCTGCCTTTCCCTCCCCGGAGGAGGTCCGCAGGTTCAGCGTGACGTCGCCCTCTCTGGAGAAGAGAATCTCAGCGTGGAGCCTCGAAGCACCAATGGTGAGGGTGTTCAAAAGTTAGGAAAAGAAAGAAGAATGTCTCAAAACTCACCTCACATTTGTGCAAAAAACATTTCACCAATATAAACCACAACCTCCACGTTCATGTTGACAGGACCAGCTGATGGAGAAGCTGGATGTGGCCAAAGATGTGAAGATGAAAGGAGAAGACCTGGCACATGCCTACGATGCTGTACGAGTGGCCAACAAGTCAGTCTGTCTCTACTGTGTATCACCATGCACCCCCTTCAGTTTTATGATTTATATTTGGTGGATTAACTCCCTGTTAATCCGTCCGTCAGGTTTCTGGAGAGCCAGCTGCGTAACCAGCGCAGGCAGTGGGAGGAAGAGCTGGAGGCTCTGAAGGGGAAACTCAGTCTAACTATCTCTGGTTCCTCCTCAGCTGCACAGCAACAGGTATTTACACAAGTCGTCTGTAGCGCCTGAGTAAAAGAAAGAAAGAAAAATGTATGTGTATTTAAAGTAATCATCCCTAATGCGTTTTGTTTTTTGCAGTTTTCTCGTATTTTTATGATGCACCATTTAATCTACTGAGCTTAAAATGGTGCAGTCATCATAAAAATGATCCAATCCCTGCTTGTTGCTGTCTTATAATTATACTAATAAGGTCTCGATAAAGTAAGTGGTGGATAAAGTATTCAGATCCTTCACCTAACTAAAAAAGTACCATTACAGCACTGTAAAAGTACTCCATCATGATTAGAAATCCTGCATGAAACTTTAAGATAAGAGAAGTTTATTAAGGAAATTCTTGAACAAAGCCTTTAGGTAGAAATAGAAAAGTACTGCATTAGCAGCAAAGTGTTGTCAAAGAATTGGGTTAAAAGTACCAGTTTGGTTCCTCTGGCTGATATATTATTATATACGACATAATTATATTATTAACAGTGTAGCATCAGTTTGTAGCTGCTGCAGTTTAAACTACTTCATATACACTTTTATTTACAGAGACAGCAGATAAATCTGAGAAGTATTTGCATGATTAATGGAAGGGGAAAGGAATAAAAAGTTCTGATACACTAATCTGCTTTTTAGATTTTGGATATTGTCTCTTATCTGTCGTTTTTTGTGAGATATTAGATGATTTATTCAAATGTGAAAATATGATTGGTATAGAGAGAAAAATCACTATTAAGTGGAACTGTTAACAACTTACAGACATCTTAAACGTGACCCCGACTACACATTGCTTGTTAGATGTCAGATGCCAACAAGGTTGAAGAACGCTGGTTTAATCTTTGGCAATGTGTTATATTTAAAAAGCTTGTTTTATTATCCATTGTGTGAAATCTGCATCTTACAGTTACCTCAAGTTGTCAGATGAATGTAGTGGAGTCAGAAGTGCTTTAATTTCCTCTAAAATGAAGCAGAGTTAAAGCAGCACAAATTGGAAACAGTCAAGTTACTCAACACTGTACTTAAGTATAGTACTTGAGTAAATGTACATAGTTACTTTCCACCACTGGGTAAAACTGCAACGGTCCTCTGACTCTGATTGTCTAAACTGTTTATTTGCAATGTTTTAAGCAACATTTTTGACTGATTAATGCGCTCATTGTGGGAGCATTTGTTATAATATACAGTGAGCCTGACATCCAACATTTAAATGTTCTTGTAAAGGAACTACAGGAGCTGCTAGAAGCCAGAGAGCACGAGTGTGTGAGGCTCAGGAGAGAACTGAAGGAACTAAGAAGCACAGTTTCACTCAGGCGACTCCTAACACAAGGTGAGATCTCAACCTGCTGACTGTCTATGATGCAGCGAGATTAAATTCTCTGTGGTTCAGGCTGCTGCTTCTCTTCTTCACAAAAAATATGAAGCATCACTATGTATCTGCAGTTTGATCATTAGATTTTGTTGCTTCAGGTAACAGTGAACACTTATTCTTAGAACAAAAGTTAATATAGAGAAGAATCACTCCAATAACAGGTTAATACGAGGGCCTCAGTACAACATTCCACATCAGTTTTCTCTTAAGTCAGTAGTTTTATTGTTTGAGTCACTGTTCATTTGTTTGTGTTGTGGTGTTTTCTCCTTCTAGTTCTTCCATCAGCTCTGACCACAGAGACTTCCTCTCTGCCTCAACCGAAGCCAGCAGCAGTCGCTGGTTTGCTGGAATGCAGGAAGAGAGATGAAACCAAACTCATAAAAAACCTCATCACAGGTGAGACGGATCACTTTTTTGTCTTTTTTAGCTTCATCCTCCTCTGATGTTTTAAAGGTGTATTTGAGATAAGTAAATACTCTGATACAGGTTTGGGTCAGTTAGCAGGATGATAATGGTAAAAATCAAAGGCTTTTATAATGAGAATAATAGCCTATAGCCTTCTGAACTTAAAGCATTTGCTGGGTATTTTTTTACTTCTGTCACATTTTCACTCATTGTGGGCTCTTCTTCTTCTTTTTTTTTTTTTACTTAATTATAAAATCCTGCACCTCCTTGGAAACAGTACAACCACAGCATAAAATAGGGAGAACTCAAAACGCCATATGTGCACTATGACAAGATTATAATGCCACAAATCACAAACAAGAAAAAAAAACAAAAACTGTTGATCTAATTTATTTTACAAAAACAAAAAAACAAAAAACTGGAATCATCAACCCAGAATGTGCAACAAAGACCACAGGACTTATCGGAAAAAGTTGCTTGGGCTCTACATACTATAAATATTTTACTGCATAACTTTTTAATATATTTTCCATGCTTGTCTCCATTCTTCTCTGTGTGAACACAACCTGCAGTTCAACAGAAAAGTTCCTGAATGTTTGTCACGTGACTGTTGATTAAGCCACTCGTGTGTTCTCCGTTGTGTCATTGAGCAAATATTCGTTTTTGTCACTGAGGTTCAATTCTAGTGATTGCAGTTATTTATACATCAACCAAAAAGCTCAAATAAACCCACAAAGTTCACCCTTTTTGAGCAACCAAACAATAACAAGGGAAATTACAATAACCTTTTTTGTTAATTTTTGTGGCACTAGCTATGCATCAATATGGACACAATGGGCAGTTGTTTCAGAGGACCATGTAGCAAACTGTTAAAATGACGTTCAAAACAACACATTATAATTTTAGACACATTGCATTGCTAATACAACTCTTCATTGTCGATGCACGTTATTTTATTACACTAATTTTAAGCTGGTTTGAACCAGAATCTGATAAGACATTACAAACAAAACAGTAGGTGTGATGAAGTGATGATGCAACGGTCATTTACGATTTTCAGGTGATTGGAGACGTCGTCCAGTCTCTCTGCAGTATCACTGCTGAATATGATGTAACTCACAAGGATGAACTTTTACTGTAACTGACAAACATGACCTTGTCTGCTCTGCTAACGCTGCTCTGGCTGTCTGCAGACATCCGGGTTGACGCGGCCTTGTCTCTGCCTCCTGGTCTGTCTGCCAGAGTGATCTTCCTGTGCGTTCGCCAGGCCGACTGCAGCGGAGACCAGACTCGTGCTCGGTCGCTCTGCAGCGCCGCTGTCACCGCCATGAAGGCGGCTCTGAAGGTAACCTGAGCTCTGAACCTTCTCCATGTGCCATATGGTTGAGGTTTAATGCATGAGGGCAGTTCGCATCATGTCAGGGAGATTTCCAGTGACACACAAGGCATCGACAGCTGACTTTGAAGCACCTCCGTGTGACTGTTTCGTCCTCAGTCTGGTCCATAAGGAAAAAGTAAAGCACAACAAAGCTCCTGTCTCCAACACACAAGCACATACAGTTGTGAACAAAAGTTTACATACACTTGGAAAACCATATACATCATGGCAGTCTTGACTTTCCAATGACTCCTATAACTCTTAGTTTTCTTTGATGGAACTGTTAAAATGTGTCTTTATCACAAAAAAAACAACAATCAGGCATTTTGGTTCTGTCATAAATGTATTATTAGTCTTCTTGAAATATGACAAAGTCTGCTGGGTCAAAAATATACATGCAGCAACTTGAATTATCAGTTTTGGTGGAAAGTTGCCTTCATCAAATTTTCTCTCTTAACTTCTCGTGAGTGATTACATTTGACTGCAGCTGCTGACTCCTCTGAGCCAATTTAAATAGGGCCGATTGGACACAGACACTTTTCAATCTTTACATCATAGAAAATTCAGAGTTATAGGAATCATGGGAACCTCAAGCCTGCCTGATAAACATGACCTTTACAAGCGTATTTACACCTTTGTTCATGACTGTATATACACACATTATCACTAAGATATATTTTCACTGTCATTATGTCAGTGTTCATTTCCAGCTGGCGCATAACCATTCTTCTCATTCATCTGTTCCCACAGAAACACATGAATGATGTAGATATGACTGCTCTGTGGCTGAAAAACACCTGTCTGTTGCACGACCTGTTGAACCAGCACTCCCCAAAACAGGTAACGTTCATTTATTATTTACGTCTCATTGATTGAGAGCATCTAAAAAAGGGCAGTAAGAAATATTATTATAGTGCTTTTTATTAGCTCTAGGTAACCTTTTGAGCAATGTCTAGTCAAGTTAAATGAATTTAGCAAACTTTATTGACTTAAATATCAGGTTAACAATGTTGCTAAAGCATCAAGGATGGTGTAATTCACAGTAAATATGTGTGTGACAAGGAAATATTTTGTGATGTTTTAATTATGTGTCCCTCATCTGCACGTCACTCTGCTATTAGAATTATGATGGTTTTTGATTTACTGATTCCTATCACAGATAATGCGTTTTTCTATATGATTGACTGACTGGTTTCATTGCTTTTCAGACTCTTGACTCTGACGAACTGGTTCCACTGACTGCTGACCTCAGCGATTTGATCCGCAGCCTGAGTGACCTCAGCATCCAGGCCTACCAGCAGCTCCTCAGCATCACCGAGACACATCTGCAAAACATCATAGGTACCACTGCAGTGATCATAATACCAAAGCTGATGATGCTCTCCCCTCCACTGCTGCTTTTATCAACCTCCTCATTCCTCCCCTTCCCTCAGTCGCTTCCCTGTTGGAGAGCGAGACCATCTCGGGTCTGCCCGGCTCGGCGGGGAAGCTGCCAGTCTCCAGGAAGCGAGCGGGCTCGGTCGGAGCCGACGCTCCCACTATGGCGTCTGTTCTGAGGGAGCTCGGAGCGCTGCACACCGCCATGACCCGCCAGACTCTGCCCCGGACGCTGATGGAGCAGGCCTTCCACCAGCTCACCTACCTCATCTGTGCCTCTGCTCTCAACTGCCTGCTGCTGAGGAAAGACATGTGCAGCTGGAGTCGTGGCATGCAGATACGGTAGAGGCATAGTTTATTAGGGTCCGAGCACTAACGGTGCAAGGACCCTATTGAAACCCTTGTGATTATTATTATTAGGGTCCGA